TTTAAAAAAAAATACATTTGCCATTTACTTAGATTGTACCGTCGTAATCCTATTAAGTTTTAGTGGGGGATGCAGTCTGCAATTGTCTTGTAAATGTATTCTCACAGGCAGCCTGTGCAATGCCTGCAATACCGTCTGCGAAAAGCATCTAAGCTTTTCCAAAGCCAGGCTCCATGCAGATGTTTTATGGACGCACACTGCGATTGCTCACCATTCACGCACACAGCCACCTCAAAGCCCAGCCTGCCTGGGTATGAGTATGCATCACTGTGCGTGATGCAAAAAGTGGTTGAGTAATAGCACTCTGATGGAAAGTTTTAGAGAATCTTGGAATAGATCTTGGATTTAGATCACACTGTGGACTTCAGTTGTAGCAATGAAACTAGCAATGGGTGCTGACGTTGTTGAGTAATGAAGTGATGTGGTGGTTGGGTATATATGTGGTTGGGTGTTATGTAAGTTAGACATTTAGACATTGGCTGATCCCATATACAAGATGGGTTCGAATACACAAATGAATAAAACGGATGCACTGTATACCATAAAATAATAATATAACTACACATCTTTTATTGAAAAAAATACTTAAATGCAAATTTAAAGTGCCTTTATTTTCATTATACCCAGACAAACATGCTTCACATATATATGAATAACAGTTCCAAAGAAATAATTATCTGTAGCATAAACAAAATACATCTACTACATAAATCACCATGGCTACAATCTGGATAATGAAGGTTCAAAAACTTTACGTCAAAAGTATACCTGCCAGCCTCACATATTATGTAGATAAAAGTCCACAGGCTGGGTTTTTTATATTTGTTCTTTACTTCCTGAGAGTGACATTCGTTTAGCGAGTTGTTTTGTGGGAAACCCACAGAGGGTTCTTGTAAAATGACTCACCTGCGGGAAGTTTCTGGAAGTATAATTTACATGGCGTGACTCCCGTAAGTTGGTGGCGCTACTGAACGTGCAGTTGTGAAACGTTCCTTCGCTCCTACTTAAAACAGCCAAACCAATCAAATGTTTACAAAGTGCTGATACACGACCAACGAGATACACATTCAAAATATAATTCAAAGGACTGTGCTGCCAACGATGTGTCTCGAACCGTCATCATCAACACCGCTTTGCAGTAATAAAATAACAGTGCCATGTATATGTGCAGACCTTGGCCAATCCACTGCTGGACGAAAGCCTCTCAATGCCGTGCGGGTCACGGGTGTCATTGGACCGTACATCACCACTCTTGATCGGTGCGGGTTGGTGAAGTTGGGGAACATCGATGGGGAGGCATAGAAGTCTAGCACAGCAATTATTTTTGTATCACTGCCTTCTGCTTTTCGCCACACATCAGCACACCTGGTATGCGTGGTAGTCATCGAACGAAGCACTATCCAGGCTTAAATCTGCTTAGCTTTTGAGGAATTCTGGGTAATTTGTTCATGGGCACAACACTATATCTCTACTAATATATACGGCCATATAAGTTCAAACAGCGCGGAAAAGTGATATTAGTGAAGTGTTTTCTGTTCATGCGATGAAGTATTCTACTCCAGTATATATGTGTATGTATGTATAAGTATATGTATGGTAGAATACATACACTTACACATGTATATGAACTGTTCACAAAGATCATAGATCATAGGCCAAACACCCACAAGAGCAAGTTGGTTTAAAAAATAAAAAAGTATTACTTTACCATAAACCACATCATAATATCAAACAGATTTTTGAAAAAGACAAGTTAATATCAAACTCCACTATGCCTAGATTGTGCATACTATGAAAAGGCATTGGACTCGTTGGAATACTTTACAAACTCATTGCCATAGCAAGGTGGTGGCGGGTGGTGCAGGTCGGGTGGCGGACCACGTGGGAAACCGGTTTTTAATGCAAAGCAGTGGCGGCTTGATCAAAACCATTTCTCAAAAGGAAAAACGCAACACACTTGTCATTAACACTACACTTAAATTTAAAATATAAAATGGGAAACCTTTCGGGAAATAGACCTTCTTCATAGCACGTAAAACATATTTTAATTTGATTGACTTATTTATCCAGGGTAGCCACACTTAATCGTAGGTCTCTTTTTCAAATGCAACGACCTGCATCAGTTTGTTGTCCTTCTCCCGCCACTTCCAAGTAGACGCGGTTGGCTGCGTACGGTGCATTCAACATTTTTGTTTTTACATGGAACTTACTTGCACGTGTACCTAACCTTTTCTGGTGCCTCTTGTACTCGTATTTTATTTGGTCGTTTGTTCGTTATGCTACATTTTCTTGCTCTTTGGTTCTATTCGGTAAAGTCACGTAGGTAAAAAAATAAAACAACAAAAATCACGACGTTTCGGCCACTCGTGTTGTGGCCGAAACGTCGTGATTTTTGTTGTTTTATTTTTTTTACCTACGTGACTGTACCGAATAGAACCAAAGAGTATGGATCCTTGCAGTCACAAAAGCTTCAAATCTAGAATTGTATTCTTGGTTCTTCCGGTAAAGTCACGTAGAAGGGAAATAATGAAATAATAAATAATAAAACATAATACAATTCTCACGACGTTTCGGCCACATTGCAAGCAGCCGTCCTCAGGTGAAGAACAGAGCTGTCGGAAAGACGGCGTCCTAAACGTCGTGAGAATTTTATTACGGTGTTTTTATTGTTTCCCTTCTACGTGGCTTTACCGAAAGAACCAAGAATATTAATCCCTGCAGTCATGAAAGCTTTAAATCGAAATTTATGCAACACTCTTTATGGACCGCGTCCACGTTCTCTGCAGTGTTGACGTTTGTGTCTCTGTTTTGTCTTTGCTGCTGTGCTCACGGACCATGGATGGATCTTCCTGGTTAAATCGCTAGGAAACTGGCTGAACGGGATCATCCGTGTCACAAATGAGGAAGGGCAATTGCCTGAAACTTGACCTATTAAATATAGTATTTTCCTTTTGAGACAGCATTATTCATGAATCTGTTGAGATCTTGCATTCTTGGTTTCTTTCGGTAAAGTCACGTAGGTAGAAAACAAATATCTAAATTAAAAGCAAAAAAACCACGACGTTTCGAGCGCAACACAAGCGGTCTTCTTCAGGTGGTGTTGAGATCTTCTTGTGAATTGTGCAGTCTTACGCAAATAACCAATGCATAAAATGAAATAGCTACAGACATCGTGTATGCAAGTAACATAATGCAACGTCAGAAGAGTAATCGGGCAAGCAAATACAGTCACCAAAGGATTTTCACAGCAAAGCACGAAAAACGATTTTATGAAAATTGGATTGGAAAAATAAAGGCATAAAATCAATGGTGAATGTACTCACCATCTCAGATTCACCGATGACATCGTCACCATCACGAACAAGCATTACGAACTACAGGAATGTTTGGAGAACTAAACTTGAGAAATATAAGCAAAACTAATATTCGTACACGTCCAGAGTCCTCAAGAAAGCAAAAAATATTGTTCGAGACATAACTGTGTCATGCGACAATGCATATATGCTCGTGCAATTACTGAAGACATGCAGAGATGAACATGGTAGATTAAAGAGGCAAACGAGAGCAGGATGAAAGTGCTTTAATAAAACGTAATTTGAACATGAAAAGCAACATTTCAACAACCCCAAAGAAGAACAATTACATACTCTTTGGTTCTTTCGGTAAAGTCACGTAGGTAGAAATAAAACAAAATAAATCGCGACGTTTCAATGGCAACACAAGCCATCGTCTGCAGACTATCAAAACGTCGTGATTTATTTTGTTATATTTTCTACCTACGTGATTTTACCGAAATAACCAAAGAGTATGGATTCCTGCAGTCACGAAAGCTTCAAATCAAGAAAGATTACAATTAGTTAATATTTCCTGCTATAATACAAGGATCAGAAACATAAACAACAAGAAGCAATATCAAAGGTACCCAAATAAGCACAGAGTGATGCATGCTGGCTATCACACATAGATACTGAAAGTGGAATGCATTGATCAAATGCACATTAGGAACATATTAAGAAAAGTAAGTGGGATTGGGCAGGGGACATCACCAGAAGGGATGATAACTAATGGACGAGACTGGCAATAAATGACAGCCAAAGGAGGGAGCTCATTGGAATCTGATGAGCTATGAAGATCTTTTTTTCACAGTCGCCCAGTAGGGGTGGGTCAGCAAGTTACAACAACAAACAATACAGAAACACGAGCACACCCAAGGAAATACAAACCACAGGGGTCAGGCGATGAGATTAAGCACGTGCAGGAGTCAGATGGATTGTGGCACCGTGGAACTGTGGGCGATGGTAATAACATGGAGGAGTCCTATTCCAAGATGTGAATAGTTAATGATTGGTGATTTTTTTAAAAAAAATAAGGAGGTGCTTTTAGACAGATGATGATGATGATGATGCACATCGTTGAAGACTGTCTGCCCTAACCAAGCCTACCAGCAGTCTGAGGACTCCGCATTCTGCAAGTAATGAAGTTGCCGTTTGGTTAAAGTTGCAAATGCACTTCCTAAATAAATAATTAAACACCGAGGAGGTATTCTTTATGATAAATCTTTTTCTCTTAATTAAATGTTTTTTTTATTTAACTCACTGATACCTCTTTTTTTTCCTGGGAGATGGGAATAGCCAATATTCTAAATATATATATTTTGTTAATCTTCAACGTACGTTGATGTGCCTGCCAAAGCAGACGAGTGAAGTGAGATGAAAACTTAGCTCAGGTCACCGTTTCTGCTTTATTTGGCCAGGTGAGAGCACACGGAGATGACAAGTTTCTCTAGATTTTGATTTAAAGCTTTCGTGACTGCAGTAATTCATATTCTTAGCTCTTTCGGTAAAGTCACGTTGAAGGGAAACAATAAAATAATAAAATATATATAAAACAATAATTATCACGACGTTTCGACCATAACACAAACGGTCATCATCACGTGAGAATTTTTGTTTATTGTTTTATATATATTTTATTATTTTATTGTTTGCCCTCAACGTGACTTTACCGAAAGAGCTAAGAACATAAGTTTCTCTATCTTCATGATACTTTCCAGCTGAATTGTTGTGAGGTGACCTGCGTTGTCGTTGCATCTACGATTTGCACGGTTGGCCAGGAAAGAAGTTCAACATACATGCATACCAACAAGACTGACATATGGGGCACATTTATGTTCAATTGTTGCTGCCTAATTGTCTGCTGTTATTCTGTAGCCGTGGATTATATTTGGCGATTGTTAAGCTTTAGTTGATACACCAATATGTCCGTGTATATTTTAATAGATTGTTTGAAATTGTGTAATGTTACGTGTTTTTTTACAGCTGTTTAAATCATTTTATATAGTACCTTACCTTAAATTTAACTTTAATTGATCAGATTCCGCTTGAAGAAATAATTTTAAGAATATATTATAACTATTAATGACATTAATTATAGCAATCAAGACATTTAATTACACGCGTGAACTTCACCAATAATTAATATTTCTTGCTTATAGATTTAGGTAGTGTACTTATTTAAATATAGTTCAGATATGTGCATGTTATCATTCTATTGCTTCAAATTATTTTTTTATATATTTTAAAAAACAAATACAATGTCATGCCAGTTTTATTCAATCAAAAATCGTCATAATACAAATACATTACGCTTTTTTTATATATACAACTTCTAAAATGATTAAAGTAGATATGATTAAATGAGAAAATATAAAACATTACACCTAAAACATTTTACTTAAACGTTTAAGATAGCGTTTTTATATTCGTTATATTTCTCTGCTCTTTAGCAAGCTATCTAATATTCCAGCTGCTGAAATACCAATTTAACATTAGCTATGCAAATGCTACTGTGCATGATAAACTTAAAACTTTACTTCATATTGAATATCAAACGTAATGTCTCCTTCCTTTCAGATTTCATGGACGAGAGCAGTGGTTCACAATTCTTCTGGAATCATGGACCGCTGTCAAACCTACTTTAAATAAAATGAAACTTATTTTAATTGTAACATCTCCAACAGTTCTACGGACAACTTCCAGTGTCCTTGTGGAACACCAGTGACCTGCGGACCTCAGGTTGGGAACCACTGGGCTCGAGGTTTCCCATGGCAGCAGTGAACAAAGTGAACACAGTTGGATTCGTACGAGCACTAATTACACCATGTCACGCTTCCTTACCCACAGACACCTGATGGAAGAACAACCGAGCACGAGAAACGAAAGCAAGAACCCAATAGCAGAAAAAGACACAGAGGACTACAAAGGTTCAGATAGTCACATCACCTCTGCACTAACCCCCAACAGCCACAGCCGTCTGCCCCAATCTGATAAATGAAGGATCCAGGTTCCCCACTCACTGCGTATGCTTCCCCCGCCGGATATAATCCGTTGAACGCCTGCTGTAGGGATGCGCTGGATTTTGGATCATTCGTTCAAAGTGGGCTTATTGTGTGTTCTATGCTCTCCGTGTCGGTAGCCTCTCAGAGCTGTGGGCTTGAGAATCCCTTCGTTGAAATGCAACGCTGCGGCTGTTGCTCCCCTAGCGCTGACCCTGCCTGTTAGCGGTCTAACGCGGCTTGTTGTTTGTAATTCGCTTAAATCTCGGGACGGAAGCAATAAAAGGAAACAATCGTTTCGTTTTTCATAGAAGCGTGCAGTATCTGGAGACCGAGGTCTGCAAGCCACGGTTCTATTTACAGTCCTTTACATAAACGGCGTGAGTCAGCCACCCCCTCCCAGTCGTTATACGCCGAGATGTCTGGAAAAAGGTGAATCACAGAGTGGAATGCGCACGAGTGGAAAGACTTTCACTTCGTTTTTTTTTATAATAAACCATGTTTCAGGAAGAAATTACTATGTCACCTCCAAGTAATTACCTGGAAACGTTTGATTAAATAAGCAATTGTGCATTATTTGTAAGAGCAAGATAACGTCCCAGATTAAGTGATAGATAACGCTCAATATACCTTTGCCTCCAATTCCATGAATAAAGTCAGTTTCTGGAGCTTCAGCTCTATTTCCCTGAACAAAGGTAAAAGTGTGAATTCATGCTTTGCGTCCTAGAAGATATTATTGCAAAAAGCGCAAGTGACGTGTTGCCAAGTTACGCGCTTCTAAATTCAAGCAGACAACACAAGTGAAATATTTAAATGAATGTGTTGAGTGGATAATGGCTCGTGTTTTTTTTTGTTGAAGCGCGAACGTTACTTACATTATTCTGAAGTTATTTACTTGAAGGCAAGCTGCATAATTGTGGAGGTAAATGAATTTGCTCAATATGCATGCTCTGGGGTATTACCAAACATTGCATTTGCCATAAGAATAACGTGAAAAGCATGACAATATAATTCCATTTCGTAGAATGAGCCAATGCATACTGGGTTAATGGTGCAAACCTCAATGAATTTGTTGAATGTCTAGATTATGAACATATATGAATCGTCGTTCTGTGTACAGATCTCGCTGCTTGCTTCTAAAGGAATTACAGTATTGCAGTTGTCTAGTCTGTTGAATGAGACAGTTATCACATTGACCTGGCAAAGCCAAGCAATAGTTGACTACTGGTGACTGGTTTGAGGCCTGAGGCTTGGTGGCTACCTTGCAGTCTCGTTCTAACCCCTCTCTAAACAACAAGCAAGGCTTTTGCTTTCTTTTGGATGTCGCAACATCTGCCACTTGACTATCCGGTAGCCTCGTTTATATGGACAACTGAGGAGGTGTCCTTCAGACAAACGGGAACAATCAACTGTGTGTGATCTTGTCCATGGCGAGTAACCTGTGCATTTGTGCTTGAGCATCGCAACATGCGTGCACGATGCACGGTACATGTTTGACAACGAGTGTAAAAAAACATAACTGATTATAACTGCAGAGTAAAGAGCTTTACTATTAAGTGACGTCAACTTCCGAATTTGACTGCAGTGTCAAACGGGGGATTTCGGGGACAATTCATAAAATTGGCCAGACAAGGTGTATGTCTCGATAAAAAAAGGGTGTTTTGTCCTGGAAACCCTGACAATCAAACATAATGCTTATCTCTTTGCTCTAAATGTGTTTATTATGTACAGACCCACTGAGAGATCATAAGTCATTCAATCCCAAATGAATCATGGTAGATAAATACATTTGACAAACTTTTTTTTTTGCTTGTGAAAAGGGCACACAAGTGGGTTACTATAGGAAAGTAATGCATGTCATTGGGGGGTCTTTAAAGCCCACTTAACACGAGGACTGGGGCATTGGCAAAGTTCCAACATTTGCCAGGTGGCTGGGGGATTTCAATCATCTTAACCATACGAACTGACTCAGTAACAAGTGTGTGACCACCACGTTATCTAGGAGTCCAGCTACGAAAAGCAAAATTCCCCACCTGCAGCAATTACCCCCACCAAGAGCAAGCAGCTGTTTTTAAACGCTAAAAAAGACCACCCTTCCTCAATTTTCATTCCAAATTTCCCACCACGCCTATTACACCCCGCAGTCACTTTAGTTAACACATTTTTTTTTTTACCAGGTAAGGCCCACTGAGCTATATATCTGTGTTTTCAGAAACGATCTGGACACAAACGATAGCGCAGCGAAGTGGCTCATCATGTGGAAATTTATAGCAGCCAAATAATCTAAACGCTTGTTTCTAAATGTGGAGGGGAAAAAAACCAGAGGGCCCAGCGCAAAATCCACGCGACCGCGGGGAGAACATGCAAACTACAAAGATACAACAGGCGTTAGGGTCGGGATCGAGCCCACAACCTCCTGTATACCAGGCGAGGTAGTTCACATTTCACCACCGTGGCATCTGCTCACCGCTTCCACCCACCTGCTATGCCCAGGTACTCGTAGGAGCCATCAAAGTACAAAAGTCTCTGGTGACGGTCTGTAGCTGATATTTTCGTGAGATACTTTTTTCCGCATTTTACCGCATTATATTGTTCCACTGTTGTTGTTTTTTTTTGTGCTGCACGAAAAAATTTGATTGCAATGCACTCTGCGTTATTTGTCTCTTTCCAATACACCTCAATAAACCAATCCTGTTAAAAACAAAAATATACTAAAGGAATGGAGAAGAAGGGTTTGTAAAACTTAAGGAGGGGAAAAGAGATGTGAGCATTGACACGGAATGAATGATAATTATCTATAATTGACTTAAAAAAAAATTGGAACTCTCCTCCCGTGATCTTGCAAAATCAGTTGAGGTTCCCATTAAGCCTCGCATCACTTCCGTTGTTTTTTTTTCTCTCTCTCTCTCTCCATTCTCGCTGCGCCGATTCCGTCCTCGTGAACTGTGGAGGAGTTTGTTTTGCAGCGGTCATACTTCGCCGAATCCATGGAGAGGTACTACCTAGGGATTCAGGATCGCCCGCAAACCGCAATTCATCGTCACCTTTCACGCCTTTTCTGCCGCATAACGTCCGTCCCACGTGATGCAACAAAAACTCCCAGATCCTACACTGCCGGTGATCCTTCTCGCTGCTCCCCACGTGCCCTGATGTCATTACTCCATCTCTCCCGTTGTCCTCGTGCGTGCATCATGTCAGTCCCGTGGCTTTCCTTCGTTTGTCCTTCTCACCAGCTGTTGTTGGCACCGCCATTGACGCGTCCTGATCCGAGCACAGCTTTGTTTCTCTTAAGCGATCACGATGCCTTGACTGAGGATCGCTGTGGCACAGCACTCGGCTCACAATGGGAAGGTGGAGAGGTCGAAATCACAGCTGAGGATCAGCCTTGCACTTTTTCCCCCCCATCAAGGTCCAATACAATGAGCATCACTTTGTGATATTTCAGCGGCGGTTAGTCCTATAGATGAAGTCGCCCCCCCGATCATAGGAATGTGGAATTTCCAACACTGGCTTAGGGCCATTAATATACGTGAGAGCTAACCCCTCCTGAGTTCTGCATAAATGAGACCATCCCCGACTTCCCCCCCCCCCCCAGCTGAAGCTGCGTTATCAGCATTTCTTGTGTTGGAGGTTAACACAAATTTCAGGAAGAAACGCGCTACCCGACGACACAGCTTCCACTTCGATGTGAACGCCGTTTCAACTGACAAATTGCACTTCGCGGAACAAAATAACACGGCACGTTCATTGGCCATTACAAACTGCGCAGGCCACGTGTCCGAATAATTTCACGTGCGATCGGTTTAACAAACAAACAAAAAAAAACCGAGACGGGTTCAAGACAGCCACAGGGAGCGTCGTGGCGTTTCCCCGAAATGTAAGCATCTTTTTGTCAAAGAGAGTTGAAAAAAAAATGTGATGCACACGTGTGTGTGTGTGCACTGGCAGTGCACACACACACACTGGCAGTGCACACACCACGCACACGCACATCAAGATAACATGAAATTTAGACCATGTATAGAGAGGCCAGGGGTCATGTGCTACTTCCCATGAATCACAATTATAGGAAGCGGAGCTGAACGGTTTCTCTGAACAATCACCAAACGAGACACCCACGCACTTCTAAGTCTCCCATGATTCATTGCAGAATATTGTTTCAGAAGCTGTAATTTCTTTGCTATGATGGCCCTTGGGCATGCCCCTCATCCAAACATCATCATCCTTGCAGACAATATAACAGCGGGAGCCATTTCTACTTGTGCGTTTCGCAGTCACTTTTGGGGTTCTACGTAGTGAGCTGTGACGTCAACGCTTTCTTAATGGTTACAGATATTATCTTAGGTCAGTTGCGGTCCTTGTTATTTTGAGGGTATGAGCTACGATCGGCATACACACAAACGGGCGAAGAAATGGTTTGGGATATTTACATGGAACTTGAAAAACCACCTCTGTCCTGCGTACACGTGAAGGGAAATCAATACATGCCAACGCTGAATACATTTCAGTCAAACACATGATTGAGAAACTGCAAAGCTGACCCAATGTTTGTTTATAACCACCACCGGCTCTTACAATTTCCCATCGAGCTCCAAACACCCCCTTCTGCTGCTCTCACCATCGAGGAATATTGTTATGATTTGATTGTGTTCTCCTGATATTCACACTGCTATATCCAGATTTTAAAAAGACATATTTCTAACAGAGTGCCCAGCACGTCACGGTTTAAATAATCGACTCATCCCATCATTACTCTCGGATAAATAAAATGAGTACCACTTTGTGAAACGTCAGCATTGATAATATCATATTGTGCAGTCTGCCCTTACCATCAGAATGTGGAATGTTGACCACCACCAGTGAAAACAGCGATACGTATGGAGTTTGAAGTCCAAAACTGTGTAGGACCCCGAATTCATAAGTTAGGGAGAGCAGAATGGCAGGAGAGTGGTCAGTGTTTGACTTGCTGTATCTCTTTGTCTATATACCTACTACAGGGTAGTCCTCTACTTACGATGGAGATGCGTTACCACGACCCCCATCGTAAGTAAAAAATATCGTAAGTCGAAGATGGCCCTAGCCTACCCAGGAGTTTTAAAGAATGGCGATAATTTTTTAGCAAAACAGAGCAATTTACAGTACCGTACTGGAAAACTATATACTGTATGTATTTATTAATTACAATACTGTATTGCACGGTAAAATGTAAAGTAAAAAATAAAAACAAGGTAAATTCTTAGCCTACCTATATGAACTGCAATTTAATGGAAAGGCGGGAGATGCGTACATCCCGGTAGCGTCCCAACGTACAGGATCGTAGCCTCGTACGCTGCTGCGTTTGCCTGCCGCGCGAAATTTAAAATATTTAACAATTTTATCGCTATCGCCATCGTACGATCGAAATAAATCGTAAGTCGGGGACTATCTGCACAGTAGTATCATCTCGCTGCGTGTCTCTGTGTCACTGCATCTCTCTTTTGTCTCTTTCTATCTCTGTCTCCTTACGCTCTATGGCCCTCTTTTCCACACCTGTACTGCGTCCGACTAAGTGTCGAGAACTTTTTCTTCATTTAAATACGTGCACCCTCCAGATTTTGTTGTTGTAAAATCTCCCTTCAATCTTGTATCTTTTTATATATATAAAATTAATATAATGTCCCTGATTACTTTGCACATGTTTTTGTGCAAACCATGTCTAGTTGTTATTATTATTATTACGAACAGGGAAAGTAACCACAATATTTACTTTCTTGATGGTTTTCATAGTTGAAAGGGAGGTGACATTTCGGAATATTTTGCCTTTTTTGTTGCATACCATGTCATTGACCTGAGAAATTTGTAAAATCACACGTTGAAGGTGGTTATAATCAGCATAAGTAGCACAATTCACTGGTATGTAATATTTGTATATAACTAATTTACATTGATTGTTAAGTTGACTGTTGATACTAACTTCTCCATGTATGTCCCCGCCTTTATTAATGCATTCTACATGTCTGGAATTGTTACTTTGCAGCTATTTCGTGTATTTTTTTTAAATGTAGTGACTCCTATTCTTGGTTCTGTCGGTAAAGTCACGTAGAAGGGAAACAATAAAATAAGAAAAATATAATACAATAAAATTATCACGACGTTACGACTGCAACACAAGCAATCGTCATCAGGTGTGAAAACCACAACAAGAAAATTAGAAAAAAGTGGCGGCTATTTTTAACGTTAGCACCACGGAGAGAGATTTTCACACCTGATGATGATTGCTTGTGTTGCAGTCGAAACGTCGTGAGAATTTTATTGTTTTATATTTTTATTATTTTATTGTTTCCCTTCTACGTGGTGACTTTACAGAAAGAACCAAGAATATCAATCCCTGCAGTCACGAAAGGTTTAAATAAAAAAATGTAGTGACTCCTGTTTTGTGAACAGTTTTGATGTCAACAGATGGTGTTGTTCATACCCGAGTAAGAGCTTGCCAGGCTCGAGATATAGTTGAACAAATAAAAAAAGTCACGGACAACACATTTGCTATATAATATAACATTTGTAGAGGCATAACTCGAAAACAAAGGAGAGTATGTATACTCGGAGAAATTATTGCACGTTGGATCGGAATTACATTGATGGAATAAAGAGGTGAGCTAGATAAGAGATGGAGTGGCTTTTAGAAAATGTCATTTGCTATATATACACATTTTTTTAAATACAAATGTTACTTTTTTCAACCAGTGTATGCTGCCAGCTATTACGTGTGGATCAGTAATCGCAGACACAAACGTGAAATATGGAACAAACTCTGCAAAATGTGTGCAGCAAAGTGCAGCGATATACGTACTCATGAAATACACGAGGGTCAATTGGATAAGAGAACAAGAAAACGGTGACATCATGGTCACTGTTAAGAAAAGTAAGCGTGAAGAAATTGTGGCTCGTGGAGAAAACTACTGATAGAACGGTAGCCAAATGATACAATGTGCCCAAGAAGATGCCCAAGTTCGTGGAGGCGAATGGAGACGTAAGATCATTTTATATGCTGGAGTGAGACAGATTGTGGCATCGCATGGCCGTGAGGGATGTGACAGTGCGGGGAGGCCTTCATCCAACCAGTGGACAGACAATTGTTGCTAATGATGAAGCATTATCACTACTGGGCTTCCATGGTACATTTTCTAAAATAAAATAAAAACATGAGCGTTTTTTTTTTTTAGCACGCAAGGCATGAACTCGATTGCATGGGAATGACGCTCGTACATTTTCAGACAACCTAATCACTCCACCGTCTTTCACAAGCCACCACAATTTTACTGCAAGTACACATTTGTGCGATCCACCGACCCTGACCCCCCCCCCCCAGCTCCACGGTGCTGAATTTGCAGGAATGCGCCACCACGCCCGGCAAAGTGGAATGCAAAGTAGTGGTGATGTTTGCACACCGCACCAGGTACTCACTCGAGTCTTGACACGCACGCACGCGCGCGCACACACGCACACATAGTGGAGACCAGGTGAGCACAGCTGATGTGAATGTAAATGAAGCTGAGAGGGTGTGAGTGACTCGTGCGTGAAAAAGCCCTGAGCCTCCCACGCGACTCTCTGCTCTCGCAGTGTCGGCTCGCACGCTGACGCACGCGGCTAACCGTAAAAGTAACTCTGCAACTCCACGCAGGGCAAATCCCCGTGGGCTGTTGGTTTCAACTACAGGGGTTTGTTTTGTGTGCACGCAGGTGTTTGTGTGTGTGTGCGTGCAAAATCAACTTTACGATCGCAGGGCCGTGTACATGCTGTGGGCAGTCAACCACGGAAAAGGCGTTTCGTAATAAATGAAGAATGGCCAATTTCAGGATAATTGACATTAAGTTATGATTTTTTTTTTACAAATTGGGTTGTCTTTATTACATTGCATACAGAAATGCGTGGACACAATTTGCATACCGTGTGCATATATTGAATATGCGTAATTACATGTACATGATATGCATATAGATAGGATGTCATTTAGTTAACAAAATACTGAATACAAATGTTTACGTGACCTTACATTTAGAACTATATAATCACTAGGCCAGATTGAGATGTAAAAAAACGACTTCAAATGAAAACTAGCAACTGTATAAGAATGAAACAACGTACAAATCACAAGAGGAATCATCAAGGACATACTGTACACCTTACCAAGGAGCTAGCATACACAGTACTGTGTATATATATTTCTTAAATGAAGAAATAACGGCATAAATATGAATTGGGACAATAGTATTAAGGTCAGCATGGCTGATGTCATAGTCATTATTTCAACCAATGGCAATGAACTATATTAAATGATTGAGGAACCTCAAACATAAGGGCTATAACGTCAGCCTTACATAATATGAGAATAACAAAAGTCAAGGCCAAGTTCGCGAAACAAATTAAAAACTTTATTTACTGGAAGGAAACCAGTGTAAAGTACTCAAGAGTATTATGACTTTAGCATTATTTGCAGATGGATGTGTATCAATATGATGAAATCAAGAGGTAAAACTGAACTAGATCATTAAGAATAAAAGTTTTCAATCAGTGCAAATTACTTGCTCTGGCATATGGATCGGAAACATGGACAAAACATAGATCAAAAGTTGAAAAGTATGCATAGAAAAGGTTGCGTAATGTGGATCTGAGAACCAATTGCAAATTTGAAACGTCAAAAAGAACCGTAATAGAAAGCACGTGGGCTTGTTCAGCACAACTGAAAAACGTGGCGTCACGGTGGCGTGATGTTAATGACCTTGCCTGGTATGGAGGAGGTCGTGGTGTTCGATCCCGACACCTGACGCCTGCATATTTGGAGTTTGCATGATCTTCCCGAGGTGGTGTGGATTTGTCTCTGGATACTCCGGTTTTCCCCTCCACAATTAGTATGTATTTAGAGTATTTGTCTGCTATACGTTTGAACTATCATTTGTGGCCAGGTCGCTTCTGCAAAAGAGCTGCAGTATGTAGCTCATTGGGCCCTACCTAGTAATAAAAATAGCTGAGTTTTTTTATATATCTCCGGAAAGGATGATGGCCCAATCATTGAGACTGGTGATGAAATGGCAGCAAAAGGGGAGATCATGCCCAAAAGGAAGATTGCCAAGGAGATGGAGGGATAAGATTAGGTCATCTGTTGTATCGTGGGACTTGGGAGAGGGGCGACAACTTAAATAGACATCCATCCATGATGGTCACGATGAGACCCTAAACGCAGCTACATGCAACAGCTAAATGTTAGGTAAGACGTGTATGTCTTTCATAACGTGCACGAGCAAAATGAACGTAGGACAAGCCCCTTTCATAGCCAATATGGCGTGGAGGAGGCGTCCTGCCAGCAAATAATTTGACAAAACACTGTCGCGTCTTTACAAACAGTCTACCTCTGCTTTGTAGACTTGGAGAAAGCAGACGATCGTGTCCCCGCAATGTCTCGTGGGAGGTGCTGCGGGAGTATTATGCGCCGGTGCCACTTTGTGTGCGCTATCCGGCCTCCCCATTCCCAGAGTGAGAGCTGTGTCCGTATTCTTGGTGTTAAATTAAAGTCGTTCACTGTGGGTGTTGGACTCCGCCAAGGGTGCGTCTTGCCTCCACTCCCGTTTGTCATTTTCATGGACGGGCTATCAAGGGGCAGCCGAGGTATGGAGAGTGTCCAGTACGGGTGCATGGAGATGGTGTCGCTTCCTTTTTTGCAGATGACGTTGTCCTCTTTGCCTCGTCAGTCTGTGATCTCCAGAATGCACTTGAACGGTTTGATGCCGATTGTGAAGCAGCTGGGAAGAGGATCAGCACCTCCAAATCTGAGGTCATGGTGCACTCCCGGAAGACGGCGGAGAGTACTCTCCAGGTGAGGGGGGAACAGCTGTCCTTAGTGGAGGAGTTTAAGTACCTCGGGGTCTCTTTCGCGAGTGATGGTACAAGTAGGAGTGCGAGATCGGCCGGCGGATCGGTGCGGCGTCCGCAGTCTTTACGGGCGCTGTACCGATCCGTGGTAGTGAAGCGTGAGCTGAGTTCTCGAACAAAAGCTGTCGGTTTACAGGTCGATCGACGTTCCCACCCTCACCTATGGTCATGAGCTTTGGGTAATGACCGAAACTATGCCGCTCGGCTGACCTGAGAACGCCTGGGAATTCCGCAGGAAGAGCTAGAGTCTGTGTATAGTAGTGTAGTAGATCTAGAGTCCGTCGCCAGGGAAAGGGAGGTCTGGACCGCCACTACTCAACACGCTGCCGCCTCGACCCTCACCAGGACAAGCCGATTGAGGAACAAACGAACGAATTTAGCATTGTAGTAAAACTACAACTAAGTTATTTAGATCTATGTTTTCCATAATACAGTTTATTTGTGTGTTAGAGGCTATTTTAATATATGCAATAGACAGGAAGGACAAGTTCAAAGGGCGCGCATAATGCACATGCATAATGTACGTTGACTCAGTAATCCTCCCCCCCCATCATTGTGCAAGGGCGCAGAGGGGTGGTCACCACATCTACGCCTCTATATAAGGAACGAAACAGGTGGACTTCTCCACAAATCCGGCTGTCGCCTGATGAAGCTAGTTGTAATTACTGGAGAAACGTCGTACTCAGTTTGTAAATGTTGTGGCTTGACTCTCCAACACAGCGGTGTGCTGCTGTACTAGTGACGAATTGGCCACGTTCTGTTTACGTGACAACCCTTACTAGTTGGCTGTGTCGGGTGGTGGCGGGCTTTAACGACACATTTATATATTTACGCGATCTAACCCAAAAACCTCCATTATGGATGATATTGGTCGAGAAAGCCTACGTGTTAAACAGATCGATGTTTATACAAATATTGCCTTCGTCCAGGAGTGGATTTACAAAGAGTTGTACATTCTCATTAATTTACATGAAAGGGACAATGAAAAATATATTTTTTTCCATTGAATTTGTTGTTTACAGTGAAACAGGTTACGATTCTCATATATTGCTGTTGACAAAATTTCACGCTGCCCCCGATAAATTTCCAGGATCACCTCCACGTTCTCCTCTCCGCTCAGCTTCTTCGACAAATGACCGCTCATTCTCACGAAAAAAAAAACACACGCACACACACATACAAAACAAAGTTCGCATTATTTAAGGCAACGAAAATTTTTTGTTCTTTCTCCAAAGGTGATTTCCCCGCTTTCCCCCCAGACTCGACTAGATCGCCGGGTCTCACCCCCACACACACAAGTTGATGGGACCTCGCAGAACCACTTGCTACATGAAGCCAACAGCAGAAAGCCACTGTGGCTACCCTTGGGTTTTCACCTTGGTCCCTTAGAGTCGTGGCCCTTATTAACCTTCACTGCAACCTTTCATCCCTTTGGTTTCTCAAGCGTTCTAAAGTGTATAATGTTAATAAATACATGGAAATTTAAAGCGTTCGTGACTGCAGGGATTCATATTATTGGTTTCTTTCGGTAAAGTCACGTAGAAGGGAAAACAATGAAATGATAAAAACTATAAAGCAATATTCTTTTATTGGTTCCCTTCTACGTGACTTTACCGAAAGAACCAAGAATATAAATACATAGAGGTTTCATGAAACAAAGTAGTTGTACTTACGTGACCGTGCTTAATTTGCGTTTCTATAATTTACCCTCTTCAAATATCTGGACATGTCTTGTACCCCCAGAAGGGGCATCTCGCACCCCCAGGTTAAGAACTACTGCCTTAGAGGACTGCAGAGTCCAAATATCATTAAGAGAGTCCCCCTCACTCGTTGAAATCCTGTTGAAAACATTTCCACTCCCGATGGACAAACTCCAAAAATTATATTCGTTCACATTTTTGTTTATTTTCTACAAAGGACTGACCTGGCCTGCCTCGTAACTGCTTTATTGCATGAAGTCAATCCGGTTGAACATTGTTAATCTGTAAATCACACAAATGTGTGTTTGAAGAGTACAGTTCATTGCGAGTTGCTTGCATTGTCTAATGGATGTATGTGCGGAAGACGCGAAAGGAAAACTGAAAACAAAGAAAACGCCGAATTAAGTTGTGGGTTTATTTTGAATACGTGCAATTATGCACTACGAAAATACAATCGTTTAAAAATACGACAATAAATGTGGCAATTGAAAAATGTCATGGTTATCGAATATATATTAAATCAGACCCAAGAATGAGTCCGTGTATAATGCTTAGGATGGCGTTCCACTGTAAAATATTTGGACAACCCCGCAGGCAAAGACGTTGGATTGTCACGTAAACCATCGAGATATTGCCAAGTCAATAAAAAGCATGATCAGGGCAGTTTTTCCACCTATTCCCTATTTCTCAGTGATCATCATCATCATAATCTCGTGTCTTTTGAACCGCTAATCAACATCATGAATTATATGAAATGTACCACGATGTTAAAACAATGTTATGTGCATTTACACGTATACGCAGCAGATGATAATTTCAAACTGACAAACAGTTGGAAAAAGTGACATGAAATACGCAATTAGCACAGTGGGAAATATAATACACGCAACAGATGATGCAGATTAAATGGTTGACAATATCCCCGTACATGTGCTCAATTTGTCCGGGTAAAATGTTATAAACATGTTTATGTGGCAATTTAAATATGGACGTAGTTGCAGGGTTAATGTGCTTCTAATCTAGAAGTACATGGTTTTTTTTTTGTCACTGATGGGAGCCACTATCGTTTATTTAAGACCACGGTAGATTCACTTTTCAAGTCTGTATATACAGTCGTGAAACAAAATGTACGTCATCACATGCGCAGGGGACGAATAGCGTGGACATGCGTGGAAAATTTCTTCTTCTTCGTATGTTGCATATCCTGTCGGACATAAACGGAAATGAACGCGGGCGCACACTGAAGCTGTTCACCATAAACAAAAAAAAGTGGAACCGCAGTCCTTTGCGGAAATTGCGTGAACACAACAGTATAATTAGCACCTTCACAGAGCCCCTGAAACACAAAGCAGCCCACACTCGAGCACGCACGCGCGCGCGCACGCACACGCTCTAGCACTCCAGACTCGGATACAAACTGCCCAGCCAACTGGTCGCCTGCCTGCCTTCTTCCTTCATCTGTGCGTGGTCAACTACAGGAGGCTGCGTCCACGAAGCCAGGGCTTTGCCGGTGACAAGTGATTTCATCGCTGTGAATGCCATCTTGACCTCCCTTGGATCTTGCGAAAGTGCCCTCCCATTGTTCTGCAGCATGTGCTAAATCTTTACCCCAAATGTGAGTATGAGTACGCATGCATGTTTTGTTTGTACGCTGTAATAACCTTTGCCGCTGCCTTAAACGGGATGTTGGATTGTCACGCTATAACAACTCTTGCCGCTGCCTTAAACGGGATGTGGCTGGTGTTGATATGAAAAATGTGTGCCCTTTAGACGTGAGACCAATGCCGAAACGAAGGTGAGATCGAGCCATTGATATTTGCTCCCTGGGTCTTTTTGTTAATGATGTTTTGTAGAGTTTTAAATATATAAAATAGAAATGACCGTGACGGAGCATTACGCCGTGCCATTTGCACAACAGCAAAATTCGTAGATTTTTGGATTTTTTGGGTTTTTTTTTTAATATGCATAGTGTGCTGTATTTAAAAGTAATTTTCATGAGTACTGATATGAATGTTTAAATACCAAACGTATCAAGGCAGGTGAAATAAAACAGTTCAATTCAATTGTGTATAAAGTTTGTTTGAACTTATATCATGTCACTGGATTAAACTTTAGACAATTTATCTTTACATATTATATTTACGCGATCCAGTCCAAAGAAATATATATTACGTCTAAAGTAACGGAGAGATATTGTGACGAAAATAATTTCAGAAAAAAACTGCTTTCTTTACAGTTTTGAAATGTTGGAATTAGTCTTAGTGACTAACACACGCTATTCTTAAGTCTCGCATAGAAGTAATGGCCCATCTGTAACATAAACAATACAGTCCACAATCTAGAGATATCGTATGAATAATGAGCAGTAAACATGCTGTGAGAATTGGATACTAAGATAAGCAATGTAATTAAGGAGTAAGAGAGCACGTGAATGGACGTAATATAATAGAGTACTTTATGAGTAACACTAATTGTGAATCTGCATATGTGGTGTCACAAACATCACGGTAAATGCGTTTTTAAAAAAAAATGTATAGCATTTTTTTCATTTAATTCCCTACAAAAGCTTGTTGCTTTTGAAACGGTTTTTTTTTGCCCAGATCATTATCTCGAGTGTGTGGTAAGCACAGTGTCTCTGTTCTCTATAAGGTAGAGATGATGATGATGATGGTATCGCTCCAGTTCAAAGGCTGTGTGGGTCACAGAAAGATCACAGTCACGCTTCAGGCTTCGCAGCCCTGGCATGCGATGCACAGGCTTCTTCTGCATGAGCCCACAGTGTGGTTTTCCACGCAGCAACGTCGATCGTGTCAATGCGGTGTCACATCGCGGCACAATATCGATGCGTAAATATCGCACGCGCATGGGGCTGAAAGCGCGGCCACTCACGCTGCTGGCATCTGAGCCGGGGCAGGAGGGGGCACGATGGCACAACGCCTCTAAAGCAGTGCTTTGAACGCAAGGTTGGCTCAATGACGAGAGACCAATTGGTGTTGCATGGGAGGACGCGAATTTGCATGAAATGTTTTGGGGGTGGTGATTTGTGTGATGCAACACAGAATGCAAGTTGTTGACTGTGAGGAATATTGTCCACTCGTGTGTTAGTTGGGGAGTGGGGGGGGTATAGGGAAAATTCGATGTCTTTTAACCCCCCCAGCCACCACCCCCCCCGACTTAAAAAAAGGTGTTCAGAAATAGATTGGCCAAGCATCTCAAACAGGACCTTCTTGCGTAAGAATATTATTGAAACGTTCCGGAACATTCGCTAACATTGAGACGATCGCTGTGTGCAGAACTGATCTGAGCAAGCAACTTCTCACAAACCTATCCACTTCTCGTATTCACGCGCATTGTGGCTCTTTAAATATTGAGCTTTTTTTTTGCACTGCCAAATTCGAAAATAGTGCCGACCCCTGACCCTAGGCAATGCGATATCTCATGGCATCTGCTTGTGCCCTCACTGCAGCGTCCCCATATGAACGAGCTTTCATTGGAGAGGCTAATGAATTGCCCTGTGGGGTAACGCAATGTGTCGTATTTATCTCAGGGTCCACACATGCCGGATAAATTCCAGAATTCTGGGTGTTTAAACTGACCTGGCCAGGCAAAGACACCGGGTTTGTATATGGGAGAAGGGTCACAGTGGCTGGCGGATTTGGAAGGTAATGAAAGGTGCTGTCTCAATGCAATGCAATTGACGAGACATCACAAATTTGCAGGCACAACTGTTTGGGGGTAAGTGTTTCTATCTTGCTAATCAGTCAATGGTTGGTCATTTACGATGAATAATGTTTTATCGATAGAATATTTTTGAGCACGGTTCTAAGGACAAAAACTTATGTTGATGCATTTCTCACATCTGCCATTCATAATTGTGCTGCAGGTGTAAATTGTGTCATACTGCACTGACCTACAGATTGGTTTTCTGCATCTTGCGTCAGGATTCATGCTTTTCTCAATCGCCATAAAACGTATGTTAAAAGGTCATAATTTTATATCGGTAAATGTTGCTTACTAAACTAATGCAATTGAAGTGCCTTCTGGCGTCATCTGGTCGAGGACCAATTGGGTCGAGGCTCAAAAGAAAGCCGTCCCTTGGTGTGGACCAATCAGTTTCAAGGACAATGCATATATTATCATAATATGCTTTTTGTTTGCATTTTGACTGCAGGTATTGTGGTTAATGCAGACATGAATCCTTGTAAAAAAAAGTTTCAGTTTTGTTACCAGAAAAAAGGGGAAAACCCTATTATAATAATAAATTAAACTATATTATTAATTCTAAACCAAACACTTGACTTAAGAGGAAATAGAAAACCATGATACTGTTCATAGCAACAACAAAAAACATTTCCTTAAACATGTTACAAATCCTTAGTATTCTGAGCGGTGTGCAGTCCATCCTTTTAATGTGGATGCAACTCAACTCTGTGAAATGCAATTGAAGTGCAAACAATACTTGAAGTCGAACAATAAAGCAGCATTCGACGCTACACAAGTCACAAACATTTGCTACGTTGAACTGTAACGTGCTTCAATGATACCATACATTTACACCCTGACAGAGTGTGCATATTCATTCATGGCAAAGGTAAATTGAGGCCAAATACAGTAATCCTTAACGAGGACACAGCAAAGTGCAACTTCAGCAAAAAAAGAAAGTTCACAGTGGTGCAACAAAAAGTGTAAATGAACGACTGTTGTCAATACGCGCTCCACGTGGGATCTCTCGGCTCAGTCTCACAAGGTGAAAGTTAAAGGCGCAGCCCTGCAAAATCCTTGATCACGCCACTGCCAGCAGAAGGGCCCCCCCGACTCAGGGCACATCCGAGAGAGCCTCTCTACAGAGTGCATCGTGAACGCAGGAACGGTCACGTCACGGCTAACAATTACGCCGGCTATTCTGCCTTCCGAATGTTCGTGGCTGTCACCCCTTGCTTGCTCCGCCTTCTTCCCTAACGCCCTTGCCGGAACTTTGCGCGAGCCGCGTTGCAGAGCGCCTCGGGGCGGTCTCGCCGCAGTCAAGAGCCGAGCGGCGTGCGGGATGGAGGGCGGTCTGGCCGGGCGTGGTCACGGGGACGTGGAGAGGGCCGTGCGCGAGGCCGAGACGGAGATCAGGGGCCTCCACAACGAGCAGGACAGATTTATGCTGCACTACGATGAGAGCTTGCACATCGAGGGTAATCTGCACCAGCGCGCAAACTGCACTCGCGCACGCGCCCGCCGGGGGGTTGGGTTAACCAACTCTGGGGGGGTCCATGGGAAGAGGAATGCCTCAGAATTCCAGAATACGGGAGGCCTGTGTACGAATGTTTTGTTGCGTGCCAATCGGAGGTGGAAAGTACATGCATCGTGTTGGGTGGCGTATCGGTACACAACTGACAAAAACAAAATTCGCGAGTTTAATGTCCCGGGAACACAAGAGAGATTACCCCGGACAGCTGCCTCAAAAAAAAGAGGACGTTCTGGGAAAACCAGGAGCGGTGGCAACCAGAGCCAATTGGTGCATCGTCCAATGGGCAGATACAGACACTGGGCATTGGAAGGCTTATCTGATGGACACATGGTTGTTTAGCTTGACATATATAAAATACAATTTGCTAATGGATTTACCGATGAATGAACATATCTAAGGACAAGGCACAAGAATACTGACCTTGTAGACAAATGAATACCAGCGTCTGTTGGACAAACAAGTACGTGATGAAGCTAGCGGCTGGACTTTTACCTGTGCTCGGATGAGGAGATAGACAGATACAACGAAGGCCCTAAAAGGCTGCCCTGAAAGATGCAGATGGAATGTACACAGTGAGTGGGCATACCATCAAAGGAACTACAGGAGTATGAATCACTGATTAGTATAACTTTTTACAAATTGATACTTTCTACAAAGTAATAATAATAATCAGTCGGTGGCTTGAAATCACTGGCAATGCAGTATCACCAAATTATGGCAGTGGTGCATAAACAAAAATAACAAAAAACACTCAGCTAATGGCAAATGTGTTCAGTTTTTAGGTGCACAGTATAAACAGGTAAATGAATAGAGAGAGGCTGACTAAACTGATACAAGATGGGCACATAAACATTGGAAAGGCATCTACGATTGAGTTAATACCTGATACACTTACCTGGTCAAGCAATGGGCAGATGGACATGCAGCTACAAGGACAGAATACTGGAAGATGCGTCGTAACATTGATGTTACACAGAGGTACAGGTGAACAGAGTAACCAATGGCATTAACGTGTCTAACATGTGGAAGCAGAGACAATGACGTATGATGTGATGAACAGCTAAGAGACCAGAGTGATAGTAACAGAATAAGCATGGAATGAGTTTGATGATGCATCAAACTCATTCCATGATAGAAAAACGGAGGTTTCAGCAGGGCAGGCATTCAAGCGTTGGGCACGTGCATTATACATATACCAGTAAAACCTTGGATTGCGAGCATAATTCGTTCCGGAAACGTGTTTGTAATCCAAAGCACTCGTCTATCAAATCACTCGTATATCAGTTGTGATCACGTGACGCTCGGCAGACAAAGCGTATACGTACACTACTCCGATTGCAAGACCCTCGCTCGTTTATCCAATTAATATTTCTTTAAATATTTTTGCTCGTCTTGCAAAACACTCGCAGACCAAGTTACTCGCAATCCAAGGTGTTGCTGTAATTTTAAAAGTGAATGGACTCAACAGATGCATGTGTTCTCATCTAGCCAAGAGAACCTGCACATTCTGACTCACTGCACTGATGAGCAGAACACAATATGACTTATCTTAACCCGGCCTGCATTTACATATGCACACATTAATGCATACGCACAACTGTGTTCCCGCAAATAGTAACATTCTGTAGCGCTGCATATGCGACCACAGTTAGTTTGGCTCCAAACTTTCCACAGCGCCAACTGCCGTAGCAAATGCGGCTGCTGAGTTGACACAAATCAGACGTCCAATCCAGCACCAGTTTAAAAAAGCAAAACCATGCCAACAACAATTTGTTGACCCACACAACTCTGCACTGACGCACGTGTCAGGCATATCCGATAATTAACATGTGTTACAATGTAATCGCAGACATCTAGGTGTTCATTTTGGAAATATCACTGGGGTGACCGCTGGCAAACTGGTGCATTTAATACGTATTGGAAACTGTGTGATTAGATACGAAACAGGACGCGCACTAACACACACACACACACACTCTCTCATTGTGCAAAAGCAAAGGTTGAATGGTGGTCACCAAATTTCATTTAACTGTGCCGAGTGGGTGCAACATTCACTTTGTGTTTTACACTTAATGTGGCCAATTGAGTTAATGTGAAGTTTAATACCGGACTTAACGTTTTGGTGACCAAAGAAGCAGAGAGAGGTGCTTTTTTTTTCATTCACGGTTCTGAGCTGGTGGTGAAAATATCCCCCTTTCTATGTTGACGGCTAGTTGGCCGATCGAGGCAAATCTTGTTGCCAAATCTACTGAACTGCAGGTCACATATGGGTGGCTCAGTTGCTTTGTTCATTGATGGTACCCAACAGATAAACAAAATGCGTACTTTGGATGCAGTGGTGATTCAAGCGCACGACCTACAATTGAATGGTTGTAAGTTAAAATACCCGTCGTGGGTTTCCTCAACCCATTCGGCGCCACTGAGCATGTCTCTGGAGATGTCTGCATTTGGTCATCCGCATGTAGACTTTGGCCCATGCAATAGCAATATGGGAATTACATCACTCGATCAGGACCACCGACCGGCATGAGCAGTGCCCCATGGTTGTTTTGGGTAAAAACGATGCTTTTTTTCGATTTAAAGCTTTCGTGACTGCAAGGATTCATCTTCTGTGGTTCTTTCGGTAAAGTCACCACCACGTAGAATGAGCTTCTGTCGTCCCGACGGGTCTGTACCTTTCACCTGAAGACGGCCGCTTTGCGTTGTGGCCGAAACGTCGTGAGAATTTTATTGTGTTATTTTATTATTTTATTCTCATTCTACATGACTTTGCCGAAAGAACCAAAGAAGATGCTTGCTTTTTTTTTTACTTTCTGTTGACTTCAATGTGTTTGCGCGTGTTCATACACGAACGTGCATTTGTTCACACGTGTCCGTTCTGTTTGCACGCGTGCGCATCCATTCAGTCCAGCTCAGCCATACATCCCAGCTTCAGAGTCCAAGCGACCAGCTGAGGGACCAGAGCCTGCGGCAGCGACAGGCCACCCTGGACACTCTGCTACGACAGCAGGTGCAGACCATCGTGCAGCTGCGCATGGTACGTGATGCGCCAAGCTTCGGTGTCCCGTCTTGGGCTCTGGTATCAGATCCCGGCTGGAAAACCTTGGGTCAGAAATTGAAATTGCTTTTCCTGCGATGTATTTGCTCAGTATGAGACGGTTGACTAAAATCGTCCTGAAAACGATGTCAGCCATCAAGTGGTGTGGAGGGTCGATATTTGTACGGGTTAAGGTAAAAGTGCAGCCCTGCAACTGCTTCCTCTCATATCACCGCTTGACAGGAGTGGGTCTCAGCTATGGGGGAAGCTGTATAGAGGGTGCTCGGCCTACTTTTCCACCTCAATAGGCAATGTACCTGACAAAAGGCTGTTTCTCGCACCGTTAGCTGCACGTTGTCCGGCCTGCTTAAGCCGTGTACGCTCAGCCCCATCACAAATACTTCCTCGACACGCTGCGGTAGGAGGAGACGAGGTTTACGGATAAAAGTGGCAGCTTATGGTTTGACCGTTTGCTCGCCCCGTTCACTGGGGGGGGGGGGAAGAGGCAAACACACAAACACAAAAATTCCGTCCCGCAAAGCAGTGGTGTCAACAACGCTGTGAAATTTTTTTTCGCCTGGCACCTTTACGAATCATCTCGGTGCCAGTTACGGGAACGTGGAGTACGAGTCGCAGCGAGGTGGTTTCTGAGAACGCCTTTTTTGTTTGAAAGGAACCGCACCGAGAGCTCTGTGGAGCCACGAACTTCGGGATTTACTGCCGTGGGAGGGAGTTTGACGGGCAGCGTGGTTTGGTGATGCATTCGTGAAAATTTTGGCCTGAACATTTTGTCTCCTCCGCTTCAAATTAGACGGTGACAGCATTTTGGAATTTTTTTGCTTCGTGTGCAGTTCACTGAATGCGTCGGTGACTTTATAAATGTTAAGAACACTGAATAGCTAATCATTAGTCTGTCATATACGCTATTCAAACATTTACATGTATACAGTGTCTGGTAAATTAGAAGAGTTTAATGGTTGTCTTTATGCAATGGATGAATGATAATGTGTGGAAGATTTTTTTTCTTTCCGACTGATAACTGCTGGTTCTGAAAATTTCTATAAACTTTCCCTCTGGCAAATATCGTCTTTATTTCAGTGAAACAGCTCATTCAACCAGTCATCATTTCCTCAAAGTTACAAGAAGTAGGAGTACATTTTAAAATAATGCACTTTGATCTTAAAACAACACATCAGATTATTGTGCCAAGGTAGCGCTGAAGCATGTTTATTCAGGATGCAGCAGATGCATACTATCCACAAAGTAAATATTCTGAATTCTGTTAATAATGCATTATGGGTGCTGATCGTCGTTTGTCTTTTACACATATATACGCAAGCTGGATATACTGCAGAGCCTTTTTTTTTTTACTATTGCATCCATGTGTCCGTCTTATGCAAGCAGGTAAAGTGCGTGATACGAGCAGCCCTGAAAACGTGATTGCAAATGAAGTGTCCGGTGTCTGGCGAGCACAGCTTTGGCAGGAAGTGGAGTATGATATCAGATTGTTGTTTCAGACAAAAACAGCTTTGTGTGTACCGAGATATGGAAACTTTTCATGTGTGCTGCGTTCAAATGAGTGGTATACTTTTTTGGAGTCAGGTCGCAGACTTACCGAGATAATCTCGGGCAGACCGAAACACTAACCGGCACACCTTTGGCTTGCAAAAAAAACAATTCACGCAGACTGTTGAGCCTGGCATGTCTATGGAATAATTGTAATGTTTATCACGGGGAAGCAAAAATAATCTGTTATCCCAACACTCACTTTGATGTATGGAGGAATATGAATATTTTCCAGTACGACGTTTAATCTTTAATATCCAGTCAAGACCTTTTGGAGATGCGGAGTGAATCACGGAAAAATAGTCATGGTGGACAGCTTGTTCACTAGACGCTCCATTGTTTGAAGTTGTTTATCACATTTTGCACTGTTGAGTGTGCTTCAATTATCACTTAGTACCGGGCCATGGAAAGCACCTGCAAATGGTGAGAAATTCATAACAAACTATGAAGGCAAACATTGGCAGGATCTGATACCCGACGTCCCACCGCAAAGGGGCAGGCAAAATGTGGTCAAGGCACTTTCCCTTGGCACTGGGCGGTCGGGCATTGCTGAAAGACCTTTCGAAGGCTCTGTCGCGAAGAATGATATACTCCGCACCGATGTCTCTGCTGCGTTGTACAATTGACACAGCGGTGAAGAGCATCGTATACTTTCATTGAAGGGATGAGAAGAAGGGTCCTCATCGTTGTAATAAATATGTAAATGCGTATTCGCTTCGCAGCATACGATTAACGTGCACGTCTAAGGCCTCCGCTACGAGCCACGTACGGCTCATAGATTATCATCTGGTGATAAAGTTTATGGCGGTGGAACGGTGGCACAGTGGTTAGTGCTCTGTACTATGAACTTGGTTGTCCTGAGTTCGATTCCAAGCTTTTGCTAACTTCAGTGCTGAGTGATATCTCAATCAGTACCGCCCCCTTCCCCCACATTCACCAACCCCTTGCTGACTAGTGTGGGGAAGTAAGGTCAAACCATTCCGAGGCCAAACTCTTTTTTGTACATGTAACACAGCTTCAGTTTAACACGTAGGCTTTCGCGACCAATATTATTCATAATAAAGGTTTTTGGGTTAGATCGCGTTTATTTATAAATGTGTCGTAACACTCCACCACCCGACACGGCCAATCAGCAAAAAAAGTGTCACGTTGACAAAAGACAAATAATTCACTACTTCAGCCCACCGGTGTGTTGAAGAGTTGATCCACATTTACAGTTTGAGTACGACGTTTCGCTGGTAAATACATCCAGCATCATCAAGCAATTCATCAGCATTCTGGCGAATTGCTTGATGATGCTGGATGTATTTACCAGCGAAACGTCGTACTCAAACTGTAAATGTGGATTAACTCTTCAACACACCGGTGGGCTGAAGTAATGAACTAATTGTCTTTTGTCAACGTGACACTTTTTTTTGCTGATTGGCCGTGTCGGGTGGTGGAGTGTTACGACACATTTATAAATAAACGTGATCTAACCCAAAAACCTTTATTATGAGTAACACAGCTTGTGGCGTGAGTTTGGCGAGGGGTTCATGCAACTGGGAGACCAAGCTTCCACGACGCGCATCAATGCCATGGAGTGTTGATCAGCTTCGGGAACTCGACCGGGGTCCCCGATAGGCTGACTGCCACTGAGCACCTCGTGGCACATTGCGACAGTGCCGTCCACGTCAACGCCGGGGAGACAAAGGTGGTCAAACATCGGAGCTCCTCTATGCTACGTTAGGCTAAATGGGAGCTTTGCTAACAGCACTTTGCCTCAATAATCTACAAAGACTAAAACAAGCAAATATTTATCTTTTGTATACATATGGATGTTTGGATGGTGGTGATGATGAAATTTATGCCGCTGCTCATCATGTTGATGCTGATGATGATAATTCTTATATTGATAATTGCTGCTGATGATGATGCTGCTGGTGCTGCTGATGATGGCGATGATTACCATATTGATTCTGCTGCTGAAGATGCTGATTATGGTAGATGCAGCGTGTTGTCTGGGGTGACAGCGTACGTATGTGTGTATGTATGTTGTTCTTCTTACGTAGCCAACCATGATAATATGTGGTTAGGGGGAAGGACAGCAAACTAAAGCACAGCGTCACAGCTGTGCTGCATGAGTAACTTGCTCTAGAGGGCCTGGGTTTCAGCCTGTCCCTGATAACTTGCAAATCACACCATAATGCCATTCATGTTTGCTGTCAGGTTCGCACGAAAGCAGAAGTAAAGGCAATGCCATCGTCTAGAAAGCATGATTTCATTTTTCTTCAAAACGTGGTATTAAACCTATTTATTCCCTGCAATTATGTAAAACGTGTTTTGCACAGTTAATCTGTGCACTGTGTGTGTGTGTGCAATGCGTAATGTATTTCTAATAACTGGAAATGTAATTTCGTAAAATTACAGTGGAAACCTGAAATTTTAATAACTGACTAAAAATTGAATTGCAACAGAAACGATCCGGAGTAAAGTTTCCTGTAAGTTGTTCGCAACGTATTTCTCCTGTAAAGCCCATACTGCTCAAGGCTTTCAGCCGTTGGTGGCTGGCGGCGCCTTGTTTACACAAGAAGCCCGATTTCCCCCCCATCACATCTCTGAGAGACAGCGACCACATCAAACCCGCACGTTGACTGATTCATGACTCTGTGGCTCCCTGGCCAGGAAAGGCATCTGTCACGTGGTTTTTTTGGTGTGTGTGTGAGGCAGCTGCTCAGTGCTGAGGAAATTACTATTTTAAAAAAATGAGAAAAAATATATCGTAATATCGTGATAAGTAGTACATGTCGTGCCCATGTTCAGCACGCTTTTGTGTCAGCCAACTGCCAATCCACTGTCGGATGAGGGCCTCTCCCTACGCCTTGCCGGCCGTGAGGGATATTTGGCCATGCTTCATTTCGCTTGTTATTGTGGGTTAGTGAAGGTGGGGCGAGTTCAGAATAATGGGGTTGTCTGCATTGCACTCTCATGCCTATTGCGCACGGTGATCAACTATTGCAGCACTCTCCAGGATCAAACCTGCTTAGCTTTTGGAATCTATTGAGTACGGGTGCAGTGTGGGAGATTTGGTTACGGGCCTGTGACGATAATTGACCACAAATTCTGCCAGTGTGTCTAGCTAAATTGTCTCACTATTATCTGAAAGGAAATAAATTTGCATTAACATTGTCTTATTTTTCACACGTAAAAACGAACTTCATAATAACGTAGGCTGAGCGTCATAAATTCCACCTGTGGCAATTTTAGTCTTGCCACGCAGCTTCATGGCATTTTGTCGGTCACGCGTACTACCGCCTCGGAATTCCAGGCGAACGGTCCCACCGATCACTCAGTGCTTGGGCTCTGTGACTCACTGCCACCTGCTGCTCAATAGGGAACTGCAGCCTTCTGTAAAGTCGGACTGCCCTGTCACACACACAGAGGGAATTTCAGGGACTGCAGCGGCACAGGGATAAAAATAGGAATTAATTAGAGTGCCATCGTCACGGTGACCAAACGTTCTTGACGTGTATAATGTGATGCTGCTTGCCTCGAACACGCCTGATTCCAAATCACATACTCGCTAATTGTTAAGTTACAGGCCAGTGTTTGTTAATGATGGAGCGCGGTAAGGAAGTTCAGGTTGCCACAACTATAAAATAATTTACGATGCAAAATATCGAAGCGCGAATTATGAGGACACGGAAATCGGAGTGTGCAGTTGTTTTTAATTGTGTTAGTATATTAATAATTAAGGATAATATAGCGTAACAAAAAACAAAGTAATTACATTTAAATAAATAAAAAGCACGTGTGTAGCGACATCACCGAAAGTGTTCGTTCCAAATGCCATTTGCTGTTGTATGTATCATCACCCCACATGATTTTCTTCAAAAATATATATATTTGACGAGGGAATTTGCTGCACTTTTGAATCGTAGCCTCTTTCGATGATGTCATAGAAATATATTTACATGTTTCAAGAATATTCATATTTAACTTGGGAGGTTTCGCGCAAAAATATACCGACCCAAGTGAAACCTCAGCAGCAGCCCTTGGGCCTTTGCGGTAAATGCTTCCGTTGCCCTGAAGAAGACGAAAAAAACCTCCTTTCGGCTTAAGACTTTTATTTTTCAGAAGACATCATTTTTGTGCACATGGGACGAAACCGTCTGGCACGTATAAATGGGGGTAACACTCAAACTCCACTCAGATTTTTTCTGAAAACACGCTTGCTGGATGTACTTTTCGAGCGCCTCTGTGCTCCGCAGGTCGACGTCTTGTATATAGTATGATTCCAACCCCACAACTAAGTCACTGGTTTACAGGCACACTGCACCGCTGAACTTCGTTTAGCTTTTTTTTGTTTCATGAATTCAATGATTTTTTCATTACCAAAGGGAGATTTGTGGCATTATATCGCTAATACATCAAACTTGAATATATATGGTGGCAAATTTACCAACTCTCTGCAACGATCCGAAACACTCAGTGGCTCAATAACGGGCTTGACTCACAATACGGTTCTAAGGTTGAACGTTCAAAACTCATCCAAGGATCGACTCAACCCATCATCCTTCTGAGGCTCATACATTTGGCACCACTTGTGCAATGTCAATATTGGCCATCCTATAGATAAACTGCGCCCTGCCATGGGAATTTGATAATTTACATCATCAGCTCGGTCGCGATTACGGATGGCGTCCCCTCCTAATCCTTATTTGAGCACGGAGACACTGTGACTTTGCTACGGACTCTTTTAGTATTACTCTTTGGTTCTATTGGGTAAAGTCACGTAGGTGAAAATAAAATAACAAAAAATCATGACGTTTCGGCCACAACACAAGCGGCCTTCATCAGGTGAAGGGACGAGACTGTCTGGAGGACAGCGCTGGAGTGGAAGAAGCCACGCTTAGATCACGACCTTTAAGCTGTGTGAGAAGAAAAAGACCACGCGCCTTGACAAAGGAATTAGCATATAATTTAGCATTGAAATGGCTCATTGAAATAGCTAAGTTAAAGTATACACATCCGCAGAGGTACCCCTTGACAAAGGAATTAGCGCTGGAGTGGAAGAAGCCACGCTTAGATCACGACCTTTAAGCTGTGTGAGAAGAAAAGGCCAAGTATTGCCCCTTTGGAGCCTCGGTGAACTCTGCATGGGCCCGTGTGACTATTATTATTATGATTATGACTGATTGCTCGCGTGACGGCTGCGTGCAGACGGTGGTGGAGAGGCTGCAGACGTGCACGATGCTGCTCAACCAGATGCTGTCGTGTCTCCTGGAGGACAAGCTGCCGCAGTGGCAACGCAAGCAGCAGCTGGCAGCCATCGGGGGCCCCCCCGAGGGCAGCCTGGACGCCCTGCAGGAGTGGTATGTCTCATCGATACAATACTGCAGGAGTGGTATGTCTCATCGATACAATACTGCAGGAGTGGTATGTCTCATCGATACAATACTGCGGGAGTGGTATGTCTCATCGATACAATACTGCAGGAGTGGTATGTCTCATCGATACAATACTGCGGGAGTGGTATGTCTCATCGATACAATACTGCAGGAGTGGTATGTCTCATCGATACAATACTGCAGGAGTGGTATGTCTCATCGATACAATACTGCAGGAGTGGTATGTCTCATCGATACAATACTGCAGGAGTGGTATGTCTCATCGATACAATACTGCAGGAGTGGTATGTCTCATCGATACAATACTGCGGGAGTGGTATGTCTCATCGATACAATACTGCGGGAGTGGTATGTCTCATCGATACAATACTGCAGGAGTGGTATGTCTCATCGATACAATACTGCAGGAGTGGTATGTCTCATCGATACAATACTGCAGGAGTGGTATGTCTCATCGATACAATACTGCAGGAGTGGTATGTCTCATCGATACAATACTGCAGGAAGTGGTATGTCTCATCGATACAATACTGCGGGAGTGGTATGTCTCATCGATACAATACTGCAGGAGTGGTATGTCTCATCGATACAATACTGCGGGAGTGGTATGTCTCATCGATACAATACTGCAGGAGTGGTATGTCTCATCGATACAATACTGCAGGAGTGGTATGTCTCATCGATCAATACTGCAGGAGTGGTATGTCTCATCGATCAATACTGCAGGAGTGGTATGTCTCATCGATCAATACTGCAGGAGTGGTATGTCTCATCGATACAATACTGCAGGAGTGGTATGTCTCATCGATACAATACTGCGGGAGTGGTATGTCTCATCGATACAATACTGCAGGAGTGGTATGTCTCATCGATACAATACTGCGGGAGTGGTATGTCTCATCGATACAATACTGCAGGAGTGGTATGTCTCATCGATACAATACTGCAGGAGTGGTATGTCTCATCGATCAATACTGCAGGAGTGGTATGTCTCATCGATCAATACTGCAGGAGTGGTATGTCTCATCGATCAATACTGCAGGAGTGGTATGTCTCATCGATACAATACTGCAGGAGTGGTATGTCTCATCGATACAATACTGCGGGAGTGGTATGTCTCATCGATACAATACTGCAGGAGTGGTATGTCTCATCGATACAATACTGCAGGAGTGGTATGTCTCATCGATACAATACTGCAGGAGTGGTATGTCTCATCGATCAATACTGCAGGAGTGGTATGTCTCATCGATCAATACTGCAGGAGTGGTATGTCTTATCGATCAATACTGCAGGAGTGGTATGTCTCATCGATCAATACTGCAGGAGTGGTATGTCTCATCGATACAATACTGCAGGAGTGGTATGTCTCATCGATACAATACTGCAGGAGTGGTATGTCTCATCGATACAATGCTGCAGGAGTGGTATGTCTCATCGATACAATACTGCAGGAGTGGTATGTCTCATCGATACAATACTGCGGGAGTGGTATGTCTTATTGATACAATACTGCAGGAGTGGTATGTCTCATCGATACAATACTGCAGGAGTGGTATGTCTCATCGATACAATACTGCAGGAGTGGTATGTCTCATCGATACAATACTGCAGGAGTGGTATGTCTCATCGATACAATACTGCAGGAGTGGTATGTCTCATCGATACAATACTGCAGGAGTGGTATGTCTCATCGATACAATACTGCGGGAGTGGTATGTCTCATCGATACAATACTGCAGGAGTGGTATGTCTCATCGATACAATACTGCAGGAGTGGTATGTCTCATCGATACAATACTGCAGGAGTGGTATGTCTCATCGATACAATACTGCAGGAGTGGTATGTCTCATCGATACAATACTGCAGGAGTGGTATGTCTCATCGATACAATACTGCAGGAGTGGTATGTCTCATCGATACAATACTGCAGGAGTGGTATGTCTCATCGATACAATACTGCAGGAGTGGTATGTCTCATCGATACAATACTGCAGGAGTGGTATGTCTCATCGATACAATACTGCAGGAGCGGTATGTCTCATCGATACAATACTGCAGGAGTGGTATGTCTCATCGATACAATACTGCAGGAGTGGTATGTCTCATCGATACAATACTGCAGGAGTGGTATGTCTCATCGATACAATAAACCATGCTAGGGTTGCCACCTTTCTTGCGTTTTCCAAGGGACTTGTCCTCCTGTTGTGCAGGTAAGCCGGTGTATGACATCTGTGAGTGTGTTCCCCAGATATGGAAAAGTCCCGATTTTCGTTAGTTTTTGCGTGATAATAAACCAGTCGAGGCAATGGATTGACATGGAGTTCTCCCCCTCTACCGGTATTGTGAGATATTATTCTTCTCGTATGCCTCGGGGTTTTTTTTTTGTACCTCAGAGCTGGCAATCGTATCCCATACGTGCTTCTAGGGTGTAATACCCACCTTGACTGCCATCGGATCCTCCAAGGTCATTAAAATGAGCACTGATTTCAGTTCAATGAGTGGCATAGGGAACTAACACTGTCAGGGCACTGAGTTGGTGCTGCTGATATCTGAGGATCAATCACCATAGGGCAACCACCTGTGATTAAATCGGAGTTTCAAGTACAATTTAGTTGTCTTAGCTTGGCCACCAATGACTCTGCACAAAAATAAAACCCCACCATGTAAATGTGGTTTTCCACTTGGTTCAATCAAGCCATGAGAATGAACAATCTTCGTTTGATTGACAAGGCACGATCACTCTTTGCAGAGCATACAGCACGTGCGGTCCATAGTGAGGACACTGGGAGCACATGGTCAGGGCCCGGCTTAACCTATGGGCTAATAAGGCATTAGGCACTCGTATTTTGAAGGCCCTCCATTCCACATTGAAGTAATAGCCATCGGAATTGTGTTTGCTTTTGAAACTACGATGACATCATGACTTTATCACAGCCAAAGCAACGGAAAACAAATTGTTTGACGAAATGAGTAAGGGTGAGTTATTTATTTGATGTGAAGCTTTCGTGACTTCCGGAATTACTCTTTGGTTCTTTCGGTAAAGTCACGTAGAAAGAAATTAAATTTAAAAAAAATACGACGTTTCGATTACAACACAAGCAACCGTCATCAGGTAAGAATGAATGAGAAAACAAATCTAGTAAACTTAGAAATATAACGCAATACAACAGAGAGTGTCGGCTAACACAACAATCTGGTTGATTAACGTTCTTCCAAAGATTGCTAAATTTGAGAGAGAGACAAAACATAGACACGGAGACACAGACAGACACACAAGCAGAGAGAGAGACACACAGAGACACACAGAGAGAGACACACATATGTGTGTCTCTTTCTTTGGAAGAACGTAATCCACCAGGTAGGGTGTTGACTGTTGTGTTAGCCGACTCTCTGTGTTGAGTGATTTATGTTTGATGAATTTACCTTCGAGTCGAATGCACGTTTCCATTTTACATACGTGAACAAACAAATGTTTGACGAGCTCATCGTTTTTATTTTTTGTGCGACATGTAACACAGTTGCATACTTCGGCCCAATCCATCGCTCCAATTAGCTTCAAATGCGTGGATGGAGAATAATTTTCTCACCGCAGAATCGTTTGCGCGCGATGGTGCAGGAGCGAGTGCATGGCGGACGCGGTGATACGATCGAGGCAGCACCTCAAGCGATTCGAGTCCTTGCTGCAGCAACTGGCACTGCCCGGCCCGAGCCCCGACGCCCTGCTCAATCTCAACAACAACCTGGCCCGCCTGCTCTCCGACATCGCCACTAAGTAGGTCCGCGTGCACCGAGCGGTTGGCTGCTGAGGCAGGGGCTGTAGCCCGGTCGATGATGCGCGTGCGTGTGTGCGTGGCGCCGTTCCGCCGTCGCCCCGGATGGCACCGTGGCAACGTTTCCAGTGACGGCCGGTGCGGTAAAAAAGGGCAGTGCGCTTTGTCAAGGCGCATCCGCTCGCGAACTTGCGGCCACTCTTGCCAAGCAAGTGGCATTGCAGAAGAGGTGCCGTCACCCGATGCCTTCCTCACCTCGCTGAGATGCTCCTGGGAAGGATCACCTTTCAGATTTATTTGGATGGCCTGAAGATCAAAGCCGTGATCGTAACAGTGATTCGTTCGTCGGAGTGAGCATCTCTCTGTAGAGCTCACCGTGTGTGGATTTCTGCTTCACGCTCTGTCGGTGCGAGATGGGTCATTCTAAAATTACTAGAAAATGCCTTCACTCCTGCCGAAACTACTGCCGGTTTCCTATGCCGGGGTTAAATTCACATCCACTAGCTTTCCCCGTTGCTTAAGTTTAATCCCACACCTTCTTACCCAATTGGCAACCAAATCCCCGTGCATGTTTGAATCCCAAACAAATGTGTGACTATTTTTCGGCTTCATTTATTAGATTTGTTTACATTCTGCAATTATTTTGTTCCTCTTGTTCAAGAAGGCAAGTGCAATTTATTTGTTTAATGAATACTAATTGTATTGCCAAACTGAGCTAATAAATCGTCAGCAGCAGCTGCAACACACAAGTACAACACGTGCTGACAGTCACGTACAGCTTGTGATTCATCTTTCCACCTCCTACGTGTGTCTTTGTGCTATAATGTGCCAGAGAAAGGACGGCGATAATCCACAGCAATTTGTGCTGAAAATAAAGATTTCCCATTTGGACTGCACGCATCTCGAGTTTGCTCATAATTTTATAATCGACCATAATTTATCAAAAAAAAGCAATGCACCGTGTTAATTAGGCTAAAGTAAAATAAAAATGCACGAACCACACCGTTAATTCGCATTATTGTGCTAACATCAGAAGCTGCTGACCCCATTGCAGCCAGTAGTTATCTTTAGAAATTACGTCTTGTTTATTGGCTCATGATTGTTAGAGATAGGGGCATTGCCGATGTCTAATATATAGGGGTAACAAAAGGCAAACTGAGGCAATTGGTAGAAATTCGCCATTCCTCTGGCGGGACTCAGTCTCACCCGGAGACAATCTCTATTTACTCCCCCTAAAGTTGTACTCCAAATTCGATTTAACTTTGGAACCTACCAATTATAAGTTGGGTGTCCAGCTTTGCTAGAGGGATCTAGCAGAAGGAAAGAAGTGAAGGCCAATGTTGTTGATGGTTGATGGCATCAACAACATGGGCCACGATGTTCTCTGTATGTTGCACTTCTTTTGCACCGTACGCAGCCAACCTGTGCTGATCGGTGGGTGCGGGGGAAGAACAACAACAAACTAACCACAAAAAAAAAACCAGTTCAGCTCAACAGGTGGGTGGAAAGACAACACTAAAAAAGCAGGTACCAACTCTTGACATGCACCGGGCCCCCTGCGACAGGACGCTGGTGATGGAGCGTCAGCCGCCGCAGGTGCTCAAGACGCAAACCAAGTTTGGCTGCAGCCTGCGCTTTCTGGCCGGGAGCAAGCTGGAGCTGACGGGGAGCCTCCCCCACGTGCACGCCACCATCGTGAGCGAGGCGCAGGCGCGAGCCCTCCACGTCGGACACCACCCCCGCAAGTGAGCGCACGCGCGGGGGGGGGGCTGGGGGGCCGGGGGGGGGGGGCACGTGTTCTTGTGCGCATGGAAAACGGCACAAACAACACGAATTCCATACAGCAGACGAAGCAACTCCTTGCCCACAATGTGGGTGCCCCATGCTGCCGCTCAGGGACTGCGCTCTCACCCCACACGTGCACGGGGAAATGATCGCTGCTGCTAGCCGTTATCCGCAGTCATCGCCATTAACGGATGGACAGCCGAAGGTGTAGGGAGCGGGAGTGCGCTGGTCAGCGCAACTGCGCCATGAACCCGGCGAGCCCAGTTCGTTTTCCGGCTCACGGCTAACGTCAGCGACGAGTATCCGAACCGGTCACAGGCCTCCCCGTGGTCGACTCAGCTTTAAATGAGTACCTGGTGTGTGTAAACGTCAGCACTTGAGAGACAAAGGTTGGCCAGGCATTATGTTTGGCGACCCACCCCCTAGGTATTCGCAAGTGCTCGCTCACAGCACTTGCCCCAACAATCTCTTGCAGGCTATATAGGGGAACGGCGCCTTCGTGTGGGGGAGTGGCATTACAGTGATTCATGCGCCCTGCAGCAATTGTGGTTACCTGGGTTTGATTTGCAGGCGACGAATGATTTGCAGCTGACGAATATCTGACCTGTTCCTGGGCCTCCCCTAGGTCGACTCGGCCTCAAATGGGTTACCTCGCTCGGTGCGTAAACATGCACACCGAGGAGACGAAGGTGGTCAGGCGCGGTGCACCGTCTGCCTCACAGCGGCTGTTAAATATCCCGTGACATCACTTGAAAAGAGAGTGCCCCACATGTGCAGGCGTGAACTGCATCACCTTGTGCGCCACAGGGCCAGCTCCCAATGGGGATCCCCTGAGTTAGATTGCTGCAGGACAATGACGTGGTTGAGATGAGATAGGATTCATGGCCCTAGAATTGTAATCCTTATGGATAATGTCGTGGCAAGTACAGTCTTAGCCTGCCCTGGCTCATGTTGATGATGATGATGATGATAAAAGTAAGTGGGCTTGGGTAACGCATGGTCACAAGAAGTGGTTGATGACCGGTAGTCAAGGGATGGAACACATCTGAGAACACGTCAATTGAGCAGCTGGAGCGGTGATGCAATCAGCAATCGTGTGCAGATGCCAGGTGAATTGTTGCGTCACAGTATCGTGAGGGATAGCGAAGGCTTGGGGAATACTTCATCCAGCAGTGGATTGATCATGGCTCACGATGAGAGTGTCTATCTCCCCGGTCAAGCGGGCAAGTGGACAAAGCCAATAGAACTTCCACACAGTCTCCACATCTGATCAACACATTTGACTTCCCGCAAAGTTGTGCTCGGCTTCAAACGAGTGCCTGGTGTTATAGGGAGTCGTAATTCTATAGTGGTTTGAGTGCTGCATCATATTACTCGTCACACATTTATACCCTAGTGACCGTAGAGGCAAGTGCCTCTTTGTGAGCACCTATTAAAGTGTGAATGGCGCAGGAGTGGTCAGTGGTGTTACCACAACCATGCCCAAGTGCCTTTGTCTCCAGTTTTGACATTGAGGCACTCATTTTAAAGCGGAGGCAACGGAAGGGGATATCCTGGGAAGAGGTTTTCGAAGCAATTTGTGCGAATTATGTTCCGGAGGTTTTGCATTGAGACACAAAGCCTCCAGGGAGTACGGACACGCAGCGGTTAACCCCGTGCCCCTACCTACTGGATATATGTGGGGGGGGGGGGGGGGGGGAAGAGCTTCATAGCTTTTCAGATTTCTCCAGGATAAATCCAAGTTCTGCTTCTGCTCCCTTCAGCGAGGTGAGCGGCGAAATCCACAACAACAACACCGTCATGGAGTACCAGCAGGGCTCTGGAGCGCTGATGGCAAACTTTCGTAGCATGGTAAGAGTGAGAGTGGGTGACCAAACCGTTGTGGCCTCCAGGCCATCCTCCATCCCCTTCACCTGGGAAAACACAGCCCAAAGCCGTAAACACACAAGGTCGCACAGCTTTAAACAAAACAAAAAATTAACTTGCGTAGAATCTGTGCCTTTAAATGCACGGCACGTGTATTTGATTATTGACTTACTTCGGCCAATATTCAGAATGGCTACTGTTTTTTTCTAACTAGCTTGTTTGCCCGTTCTTAGGAGGGAAGCTGAAATGTTGATGGGAAAAATTGAGCGGAGTTTAATTGTTGTACCTCGTGTGAATTTAATGGCAGTGAATCTTACGCGAAAGTAAATCTCGTAAAACACTCCACTGCAGTTCACTGTAGCACTGTATTAATGGCAGTGATTCTTGCACAAAACTACTTCATAAAACACCTCACTTCATGTCACTGTAGCACTGTATATAAACTGACCTTCAATTTGTTCAAATTCACTTCTCTGATTCTTTATTCTCTTCTGCTTTCGGTCGCTGGGGTTGAAATAAATTGGGATTCGATACAATATCTGGAAAAATCACCGATGAATGTCTATTTTACCATAATGTAGAAGCATAAATTAGACTTCCCTTTTGCCTCAAGTGCTGAAGAAATGAAGACACCAAATCCACTTTGTTGCTACGTAGAATTATTCATTAGATTCACTTTCAATAAAGAAACGTCAAACTTAAAGAGAATTTGCGGGGGGAAAAAAATATCTTTCCGCTCCATCTTCTGTGTGATTGTAAAAATCTACCCGCTCATGAATATTCATGAGGGGGGAGGTGCGGCATGTGGAGTGACGTCACGAACGTTACACACAAACAGACATTCTTGGCTCATTATAGTAGTAATTCGAAATGGAGTAATTTTTTTTTCCATTACCAAATCTCACTAAAAGTAAAAGATACCAACACATTGTGCAATGTATTACTTTGCATTTATTTAGTCAACTGTGGTGCATTTATAATCTAGGTTTTTTGGGGGGGTTAGATCATGTAAATATATAAATGTTGTGTCGTTAAACCCGCCACCACCCGACGCAGCAAATTATTTGTCACGTAAACAGAACGTGGCCAATTCGTTATTAGTACAACACGCCGGTGTGTTGGAGAGCCAAGCCACAACATTTACAATCTGAGTTACGACATTTCGCCAGTAATTACAACTAGCTTCATCAGGCGACGGCCAGATTTGTGGATAAATCCTCCTGTTTTGTTCCTTAAATAGAGGGAAAGATGTGACGACGTCACTTGTGAGCCCTGCTTGTGCGAGGTTGGGGGGGGGAGGGGGGGGAATTAATGAATGCATATTAATTAAAATGGGCATCCATTGCCGGTTGGGGTTTTCATATGGTAATCAACGTACATTATGCACGGTACATTTGTGGTGGTGTTTCAGTGTCAAGCCCTCTCCAACCTCTAGTTCAGCTGGGTGCCACTACAATTAACAGCCATCAACCCCACATCAAAAGGCTATCATTGTTTTTTTTTTTATCCTGGCTGGAAAATAACTCAGAAATGAGCACAACTTTGCGGGAAGTCAAATTTGTCGATCAGATATTGGAGACTGTGTGGAAGTTCTATTGGCTTTGCCCACTTGCCCGCTTTGAGCGGGGAGATAGACACTCTCATCGTGAGCCATTATCAATCCACTGCTGGATGAAGTATTCCCCAAGCCTTCGCTATCCCTCACGATACTGTGATGCAACAATTCACCTGGCATCTGCACACGCTTGCTGATTGCATCACCGCTCCATCTGCCCAATTGACGTGTTCTCAGATGCGTTCCATCCCTTGACTACCGGTCATCAACCACTTCTTGTGACCATGCGTTACCCAAGCCCACTTGCTTTTATTTACAGTTCAAATTACGCATTTAACCTCCGTACGTTCTCTAATCCACGGCTTCCCCTTTTTGTCTCTCAATGTGCGGCACAAACACACACATATTGCACCCTAACAATTCGCAATGTCACCGCGATCCTCCCATAGTGAACCATGCTCTTCTTCTTAATGTTCCCTTGCGTTACCCTTTGGTCCCCATTAGTTCGAGTCTAACCCTTATTGGGGCCTCCTTAGTCAATCAGTGTTGGCTTGTCACCCACAGTCACGTGATTCCCTCACGGGCTGTTACCGGTTTTCAATGGTACGACTGTCACGCGCGACTGATGACCCCTCCCTGGTGCTGCTGTCCGGTCTCAGCTGCTGAAAAAGATTCGACGCTCGGACCGACGTGGCTCAGAGTCAGTCACCGAGGAGAAGTTTGCAATCCTCTTCCAGGCGACGCTCAACACTGGGGACGGCGAGTTCCTGCTGCACGCGCAGGTGCAGCACGCTCACGACGCACCTACAGCAACCGCACCGTTCAACCACACCGTTCAACCACACCGTTCAACCGCACCGTTCAACCACACCGTTCAACCACACCGTTCAACCACACCGTTCAACCACATCGTTCAACCACACCGTTCAATGGCACCCTTTAACTGCACTGTTCAACCACACGGTTTAACCACACTCTTCAACCACACCGTTCAACCACATTCTTCAACCACACCGTTCAACCACACCGTTCAACCGCTCTGTTCAACCACACTGTTCAATGGCACCCTTTAACTGCACTGTTCAACCACACGGTTTAACCACACTCTTCAACAACACCGTTCAACCACATTCTTCAACCACACCGTTCAACCACACTCTTCAACCACACCGTTCAACCACACTCTTCAACCACACACCCTTCAACCACACTCTTCAACCACACCGTTCAACCGCACCGTTCAACCGCACCGTTCAACCACACTCTTCAACCACACCCTTCAACCACACTCTTCAACCACACCCTTCAACCACACTCTTCAACCAGACCGTTCAACCACACCGTTCAATGGCACCCTTTAACCACACCGTTCAACCACACTCTTCAACCACACTCTTCAACCACACCGTTCAACCACACTCTTCAACCAGACTCTTCAACCACACTCTTCAACCACACTCTTCAACCGCACCCTTCAACCACACCGTCAACCACACTCTTCAACCACACTCTTCAACCACACTCTTCAACCACACCGTCAACCACACTCTTCAACCACACCGTTCAACCACACCGTCAACCACACTCTTCAACCGCACCCTTCAACCACACCATTCAACCGCACCCTTCAACCACACCATCAACCACACCGTCAACCACACTCTTCAATGACGTGCGACAATCAGACGCTGCACCCACAATGCCTCAACCACGGGGCACTGTCCACACTCGCTGACCATTTGCCACAGCACAAAACTTAAGCACTCAACAGTGCGTCAATTAAAACTGAAATAAATTCTTAGGCTGACAATGCACGCATTGAATCGTGCGTGCGAGAATCAATTATTTATGATTCATTATTTGCAAAAATGGCACGCTAACGTTACAATTAAGCCAATGAAGCGAACACAACTTTTCCGAATGAGAAACTAAGCACAAACCATATGGTGTCCGGGCGTAGCACTGGCTTCAACGTCGCTTTGTGCTCGTGAAGAAGCACCTCTGGACTAATGAGGCAAGGTCAGGTCGAGGTACCACACATTTATTTAACACATTTGCTGTGCTCTTGTGGTGAGGGGTAGTGTCGTGGCCAGCGTGCTGCTCTACACAGCTGGCAACCTGAGTTTGATTCTCGTTCACGGTCAATACCAGTGACAATCATCTGAACTGGTTCTGGGCCTCCTCTAGGTTGACTCGGCCTCAAATGGGACAACGGCAGACGGTTTTGGTGCTGGCCGGCCACCACCTCGTGTGCCGTGCCAGCCTTTGTAGGTGCTGCTCGCTAACAGCACTTGCACCCAAAGGATGTTAAGGCTCTATGGGGAATCTTGGTCTTTGTGTGGTGTGTGTGTGTGTGTATATTGCTCTGTGCCAGGTGCTGTCCTTACCTGTGGTGGTGATCGTCCACGGGAGTCAGGAGAACAATGCCACAGCCACAGTGCTGTGGGACAACGCCTTCTCCGAGCCGGTAGGCGTGGGTTTGGTTGTCCCCTTTAGTTTTGCGGAGTTCAAATGTCACCGGGTTACATGCTGCACATAAAATACTCACCCAGCGTAAGCTGAGCCATAGCGCCTTCAGTGACGGTCGCATGAGATCTCGTGTCCGCCTCGCAACAAAACCGAGTTCCTTTGAAATTTCTTTCTCAACAAGTAAATCGTACTGATTTGGTAATAAAAAAAAATTGCGATCGACAAAATAATGAGAATCATTGCTAAAGTTGCCGCGTGTTCCCCGTGTATCCCTGTGCGCCGCGCAGCGCCGATTGCCCTTCCAGGTGCCAGAAGCAGTGCCCTGGAGTCGCCTCATGGCTGTCCTGGATAGCAAGTTCCGCTCGGAGGTGGACAGCCCCACGGGGCTGTGCACCGACAGCGTGACCTTCCTCGCCCACAAGGCCTTCGGCTATTCAAGCGGGGGCGAGGACCTCGCTGACCGCGCCATCTCCTGGGCGCAGTTCAACCGGGTAGAGAGCAACATGGAGCACCAGAGAGATGTCTTGGTTAATGCCGATGCTAATCAGACTAAATTGATAATATTGGTCGCGAAAGCCTACGTGTTAAACAGACTAAAGCCATCTGGCTACCATGAGAGATTCGTTCATGAGGCTATCCACATATACAAGCACAGAGACAATTTCAACCGAGAAGATGGATTCTGGCTTAGCAATCATTGGAAGGATTTGGTAAACCATTTCGGGTCTTAATTGATTGTTCACGCTTACGGTGGCTGTCAGACAGCATACATTCATTTTTCGTCTCCCCCCTCCTCTTTTCCGAACATAGATGGACTCGTCCATCTAAACAAACTGTCAAATCGCTATCCGTGGTGCTAACGTTTAAAAATATATAAATACAAACTGCCACTTCTTTCAAATTTTCTTGCCGTTGGTTTTCAACCTGATGATGACTGCTTGTGTTGCAGTCGAAACGTCGTGATAATTTTATTGTTTTATATATATTTTATTATTTTATTGTTTCCCTTCAACGTGACTTTACCGAAAGAACCAAGAATATGAATCACTGCAGTCACAAAAGCTTTAAATCAAAATTTAAATCCACTCAATAAAGAAAAACTATTTTTCTTTGACCAGGTAAAGCACACAGAGCTATACAGCTCTTTATCATAAGCGAGCTGGCTTTCACAAATGATAGCCCAACGAAGTGGCTTATCACGTGGAAATGTATAGCTGCCAAATACTCTGAGCTCATGTTTCTAAATGTGGAGGGAAAAACTGGAGGACCCGGAGAAAAATCCATGCGACAACGGGGAGAAACACGCAAACTCCAAATATACAGGCATCAGGGTCGGGATTCAACCTACAACCTCCAGGCGATGGGAGATAACATCTCGCCACCGCTACGCCAATAGTAATCACATCAGCAGTACTTAAGGCAGCACAGTGAACAATCAGCAAGGCTGCCTTGCGCAAGTGGTTCTGGGTTAGACCTCAATACCCATTTATACCGCTGCACGGGGGATGGGGCTGAAGGGATTCAAGAAACTTGCCTATTTCTTCAAATGCCACTTTGGGCGATCGAACTGACCACATCCGGAGTGCATGTTTAGTGTGCTAACCACGACACCATGGCAGCATGAATAATATATAATAATATAATATATAATACCCTTTCTTTACAACCAGGAAAACTTACATTAGTCTTCAGACCTTTTTTTTCAGGAGTTCTTTAGCATTTGGGCATATAACTTAAGTGTTTGGAGAAAAACCCACACATACGAGGGGGTAGAACTAAAATCTCCACACAAGTACATTTAAGATTCCATCGGTGTGCCGCCATCTCCTTGCCACCTTACAGCTCAAGCCCACAAACAGCTGGTATCGCGACCCCAGTCTCCCATCGAAGCACTCGCCAGGTTCAAACTCTGCTTAGCTTCTGATTAGAGAGATTTGATGAGATTGCGAACATTCACAGTGATTTGGCTTTAGGCTTAATGGACTTAAGAGTTAGGGTTGTCATTGACAAGTACGGACCGAAATCTCTCACCACCATTGCCATTCACACAGTTGTACTTCCGAGGGTAATTAGAGGACTAACATTGCAGGCGATGGCCCTTCTGCTGTCGTGCAGGAGAACCTTCCCGGTCGCACCTTCACCTTCTGGCAGTGGTTTGACGGTGTCATGGAACTCACCAAGAAGTACCTGAAGAGCCACTGGAACGACGGGTCAGTGTGCAACTTCCTCGTGACGTCATTCCGCAAAAACCGTCTGGATTTTGGCTTTGTATGGTGTTGCTGAGTCTGGTTTATTTGGTGTGGCTTAGTCTTGTTTGTTCGGCGTGCCTAAGTCATGGTAAATCCAGCAGTGGATTCACCATGGTGATCGATGAGGAACACATTCTCCTGCGGAGGGAGCTGGTAGGAACGTTGGGTTGCTCGGTCAATGACCAGGGTCAACGGCGGCACCACCACGTGGTGTATTCCGCAAATATGCCCGACTGTGAGGGCGGGCACAAGCCGGCGTGAGTAGGTTAAACGTTGAGTTTTATAAGGGCACCACGGGGTGACCAGCCCCTCCCCACCCAGCCCCACCCCTCCCATCCCCCACCCAGCCCCACCCTCCCCACCCAGCCCCTCCCCACCCTCCCCTCTCCACCCAGCCGCACCCCTCCCACCCCCAGCCCCACCCCATCCCCCACCCAGCCCCACCCTCCCCACCCTGCCCCACCCTCCCCACCCAGCCCCTCCCCACCCTCCCCACCCAGCCCCTCCCCACCCAGCCCCTCCCCACCAACCCCAACCAGCTCCTTCACCACCCTCACCACCCAGCCCCTTCCCACCCAGCCCCTCCCCTCCCCACCCTCCCCTCCCCACCCAGCCCCTCCCTCCCCACCCAGCCCCTCCCCACCCTCCCCTCTCCACCCAGCCCCACCCCTCCCATTTTTGGATGCACGACGGACGGACGGACACAATAATCCCCTGTGGGCTGGTGTAGTAACCAGGAGGTTCCTACACAGTAAAATGTAATTTCCGTGGGCAAGCGGCAGCTCTGCTGGACCTCCTGACGCTGCTCGTGTCGCGTGGGCTCCAGGGCCATCGTGGGTTTCGTGAGCCGAGCGCAGGCACAGGACATGCTGTTGTCACTGCCCGTGGGGACCTTCCTGCTTCGCTTCAGCGACTCCGAGATTGGGGGCGTCACAATCGCATGGGGGGCGCAGATGCCCGGTCAACCAGGTGAGCGGTTCTCGGGAGGCCGAACATTTGTGCTACTTCACCCCACCGCCTGTGTGTGGAACCGGCCTTTTGAGTACGAGCGAGGGTCTTTTCCACTAACACTAGAGTTGGGCTATATGGGCAAATCCAAATATTGGCGATATCATACGAATAAACATAGTGATGTTATACAGTGAGGGAAAAAAAGTATTTGATCCCCTGCTGATTTTGTACATTTGCCCACTGACAAAGAAATGATCAGTCTATAATTTTAATGGTAGGTTTATTTGAACAGTGAGAGACAGAATAACAACAACAAATTCCAGAAAAACGCATGTCAAAAATGTTATAAATTGATTTGCATTTTAATGAGGGAAATAAGTATTTGACCCCCTCTCAATCAGAAAGATTTCTGGCTCCCAGGTGTCTTTTATACAGGTAACAAGCTGAGATTAGGAGCACACTCTTAAAGGGAGTGCTCCTAATCTCAGCTTGTTACCTGTATAAAAGGCACCTGTCCACAGAAGCAATAAATCAATCAGATTCCAAACTCTCCACCATGGCCAAGACCAAAGAGCTCTTCAAGGATGTCAGGGACAAGATTGTAGACCTACACAAGGCTGGAATGGGCTTCAAGACCATTGCCAAGCAGCTTGGTGAGAAGGTGACAACAGTTGGTGCGATTATTCGCAAATGGAAGAAACACAAAAGAACTGTCAATCTCCCTCGGTCTGGGGCTCCAGGCAAGATCTCACCTCGTGGAGTTGCAATGATCATGAGAACAGTGAGGAATCAGCCCAGAACTACACGGGAGGATCTTGTCAATGATCAAAAGGCAGCTGGGACCATAGTCACCAAGAAAACAATTGGTAACACACTACGCCGTGAAGGACTGAAATCCTGCAGCGCCCGCAAGGTCCCCCTGCTCAAGAAAGCACATATACATGCCCGTCTGAAGTTTGCCAATGAACATCTGAATGATTCAGAGGACAACTGGGTGAAAGTGTTGTGGTCAGATGAGACCAAATGGAGCTCTTTGGCATCAACTCAACTCGCCGTGTTTGGAGGAGGAGGAATGCTGCCTATGACCCCAAGAACACCATCCCCACCGTCAAACATGGAGGTGGAAACATGCTTTGGGGGTGTTTTTCTGCTAAGGGGATAGGACAACTTCACCGCATCAAAGGGACGATGGACGTGGCCATGTACCGTCAAATCTTGGGTGAGAACCTCCTTCCCTCAGCCAGGGCATTGAAAATGGGTCGTGGATGGGTATTCCAGCATGACAATAACCCAAAACACACGGCCAAGGCAACAAAGGAGTGGCTCAAATAGAAGCACATTAAGGTCCTGGAGTGGCCTAGCCAGTCTCCAGACCTTAATCCCATAGAAAATCTGTGGAGGGAGCTGAAGGTTCGAGTTGCCGAACGTCAGCCTCGAAACCTTAATGACTTGGAGAAGATCTGCAAAGAGGAGTGGGACAAAATCCCTCCTGAGATGTGTGCAAACCTGGTGGCCAACTACAAGAAACGTCTGACCTCTGTGATTGCCAACAAAGGTTTTGCCACCAAGTACTAAGTCATGTTTTGCAGATGGGTCAAATACTTACTTCCCTAATTAAAATGCAAATCAATTTATAACATTTTTGACATGCGTTTTTCTGGATTTTGTTGTTGTTATGCTGTCTCTCACTATTCAAATAAACCTACCATTAAAATTATAGACTGATCATTTCTTTTTCAGTGGGAAAACGTACAAAATCAGCAGGGTATCAAATACTTGTTTCCCTCTCTGTAGCTACCGGTATCATAGCCACTGTAATTTCAAACTCTGACGGGTATCGCTTAAGAAATGTTGCATTGGTACTGCTCAATATAGGGATATCTTTTTTCAAATACAGGGTAACATAAACAATACCTGGCACTAGCCAACATCAGGGTGTTCCCTATATCGAGCAATAAATTAACGTTTACACGACCTTGAAATATTGTGAAACCTATAATTTATTGGGCAATATGCAATTTTATAATATTACTACACACTCGCTTATGTTAAAGCAACATATCTCATCATGATGCCCCTCTCGTGAAAATGTGTTTATTGGATGAAACTAATTGAGACTAATGCTAATAATTCATTTCAGCAACTTTTCTTCGCCAATATCACTTTGACCCCTAACCCCTTGCAAACAATACCACATCTAATAATCATCACCACCACCACCACCACACACCTGTATTGCTCACTTAAAGGCGCAATTGATTGGTGAGCATAGTTAAATGTTTAAATAGTGAGATGAGGGCATATTGATGGGACAGTGGAGCAGTACCTCGCATCCAGTGCTGGGAGTATGGCCGATCTGCCAAATGCTCCATGAAGGTGCCCCTGTTCGGTAGCACCCTCCCCGCATAGCCACAAGTAAGGGTGACTCACAGCTGGGGTTTCGCTTGGTGGTAACAGGTTTTTTTTTGACCGAGTTGCCATGACGACGAGATAAGTTCTTTATGATGCTTTTGCATATTTTTCCGAGCGTAGTTTGCTCAGCCTTACTTGAGTACTTGGGTGGTGTGTGTATGTGTGTGGGGAATGAACGGTGGTCCGCGTGTTGTGCTGACTGCACCACCCAATATCGTGTCTTGTTGTCGGCCTTCAAAGGTGCTCGCCAACAGAACTATCCCCAGCAGTGTGTATCACTACATGAGAAATCTTTAACGTTGTAAGGCAGCGGTGGTGCAGTAGTTTGCACAATGCTCTATAGTTGTGGCGACCTGCCAAGTGGGATCTGAACCTGCTCCTGGGCACCTGTTCTTGCAACACCAGCCCATCGTGGGCCACGACAGCCTCAATAGTTGCTCATTAACAGCACTTGCCTCAACGGTCTGTATAGCTATATGGGGAGTCTTTGCCGTTTCGTGTGTCACCTGCAACCCAGCGGCCTACACAATCTTAATCCGGACCTGGGTTTGGCCGGTAGACGTCATGGATGCTTGCTCTATCAGGGCCTTCGCAACATGCTTTATTTGAAGTTCTCTCTGTGGGTTTTGGATCATTAAGATATATTAGTGAGGGGTGCTACCAGCCCCTCGTACACACCCCCATTCGCCGCTGTGGTAGATGTGAGCATGCCATGAGGGTAATCATCTGATTTCAGCCCTTCCCCCCAGTGGCAATGCTCACAACACACCACAGTGATTATATCTGACACCACAAGGAAGTGGGGGATGGTTGTTTTGCTAAGCGCTAGCCTGGGATATATAAAAAAAGAAGTGCACATAGCCTGGCACAGGTGCTGCAGTGATCTCACCATCTCTTAGTGTAGCTAATGACGGCTCTCCGATGTGTGTGTGTGTGTCAGTGTGTGTGCTATGCGTATAAGGGGGAGTGACGATTATCTGAACCCGTCCTGGGTCTTTCCCTAGGTCAACTTTAGCCTCAAAATGAGGCAAAGCCGACCATCGCAGTTGACCGGGGTTAAGTCGACCATTGCCGTTGCCGGTCTTCATAGGTGCAACCTCACTAACAGCACTGACCCAACGGTGATCTCTGTATTTGCGTCGTGCGCGTACACGCCAGGCGAGCGAATCGTGTGGAACGTGAAGCCGTTCACGGCGCGCGAGCTGGCCATGCTGCCCCTGGCTGACCGTGTGCGGGACCTGGACAGCCTCCAGCTGCTGTACCCGGCCCGGCCCAAGGACCACGCCTTCGCCAAGTACTACAGCCCACCGCGTGAGTACCAGACTCGGGGAGACGCCACGTGCCCACGCACGCAGCCGCAAGAGCCTCGCCGTGAGCGGCGGCCAGCGCTGGGCGTCACTGTGTGCTGAGTTCGGCAATTTTTTTCTTCTTCTTCGTCTTCTTCTTTCTAGTCTAGACTGTGCAGGGTGTGTGGGAAAGTACTGAGTGAGTGGGTGAGTGAGTGAGTGTGTGGGTGAGTGTGTGGGTTAGTGGTGAATGGGTGAGTCAATAACAGCCTGTGGAATGTTAGTTAAGTCTTAGCCTTTCAATTTCATGTCATCATTAAATTAAGAAAATGCTGACACTATCGTTTAGTCAGCATAGTGTATATATATAAATTACTACTTCCAGTGTTAAATATCAGCATTTCTTATGTCAATGACGAAGTGAAATCTAGAGAGACGAAGCCTCAATTAAAGTTCCACGCGCTGCCATTGATTAATCTTAGACTCGAAAATAGCACGTTGAATGCTGATGAAATGATCACCGACCGCACGTCCCCAGCAGTGACACGAAGCAGAAGGCCAGCAAGGTGCACGTCACGATGAACACACGCTGCTGCCTCAGCGGATGAGGGGTCTGTTTGGTTATCTGTGTCTGCAGAGAGTTTGGGGGGGGGAACATAACCCAGCAGTATTCTTGGTTCTTTCGGTAAAGTCACGTAGAAGTGAAACAATAAAAATATATAAAACAATATATATTTTTTATTTTTATTTTTGGGATTTTATTGTTTCCCTTCTACGTGGTGACTTTACCGAAAGAACCAAGAATATGAATCCCTGCAGTCACGAAAGATTAAAATCAAAATATAACCCAGCAGTGTTAACAGGTATCCATGTTTTTTTTTATCATCAAATCACTGTATCATAAATAAGCAAAATATAACCCGTCAGCTTCATGGCTGTGATACAGAAGTCGGCGTTGCGTGTAGCAAGAATTACGTCTTTGTTTCCACACCAAACAAAGGCCTCATAGAATTCACAACTCTTTTCAGGAAAGTCCTGCTTTGGATGTCAGTCCAGTTGCTGGAGTACCCCTCACAGCTTGGAAAACGCACACACATACTTGCTCTGCTGCCTTCAGCAGGCACTTTGCTAACTCCATAGCTTGGTGTCTCACCATACATCCATGGTTTTTGTTCGCATCACAGCATTGAACACTCAGCCCAGCGCAGGACGAATATGAATCCGTGCCACGGTCGAGGCTTGGTTTTGTTTCCCATGCATTGACTCTCGCTCTCTCTCTCTCTCCCCATGTCAATTCGCAGCGGGAAATAATCTCAATGGATACATTGTGCTGGGCATCCGCCAGGTGCTGCCAGGGTAAGGCGCTGCTTCTGCGTGTGAATATGCCCTCACTGAGCAGTCTGCGGCACGCCTCGACTGCATACAAGACCTGTGGCTACTCGCCACTGCTCACGTGCATGCGCACATACCGAAAAGAAAAAGATCCCCTCCCGTATAGCCTTAACAGACTGCTGGTAGTGTTAAGCGAGCACCTATGAAGGCCGGCACAGCGCACGAGGGGGTGGGGGTTGCCAGCCGCCTTCGTCTCCCTAGTGGCGATGTTTACACGCCGCACCGGGTACTCACCCGCTTGAGGCCGAGTCGACGTAGGGGAGGGCCCCAGGACCGGTTCAAACAATCGTCACCGGTGGTGTTGACCGTGAGCGGGAATCGAACTCGGGTCGCCGGGTTCGTAGCGCGGCGCGCTAACCGCTGCGCCACCGCTCTGTGACACACACGCTTCATCCACATAGACACATGAACCGGTCCTGGGCCTCCCCTAGGTCGACCCAGCCTCAAATGAGTACACGGAACGGTGTTTAAAAACATCGCCGCTAGTGAGACAACAGCGGCCGGGGATGGTGTTGGCCACCCACCCCCTCGTGTGCCAGAGTGCCGGCCTTCATAGGTGCTGCTCGCTAACAACGCCTGCCCCAACAGTCTGTTGAAGACTACACGGGGGATCTTTGTCTTTGGAGGGTGTGTGTGTGTGTGTGCGCTGTGCACTCATTTGCATGCGGCCTGTGCCCGCTGCAGGTTCTCCATGCTGCCCCCGGGGCTCCCGGGGACCCCCTGCACCTCGTACGCGTCGTCTGATGACACCGCCGTCGCCGCCACCGCCGGCACCAGCGCCACCGGCTCCCCGGGCAGCACCGCGCGAGCCCTCTTCACCGGCTTGGGTCACAACTGAGCTGGCGCAGGGTGCATCGCGTCACGGCGCGTCACGTGACGCGCCCCCGATGGACACGCATCCAAGGTGGAAACCGGACAACGCTGCCGATGGCCGGAACGAGGACCTAATGGGCTCACGCTTGCCGTGTTTCTATTTCACACCTGCGTCCAATGCTTGTCGGGAAGCTCCAAGAGCTGCCGCCGATGCGACGGATGTGAGCGTCAATCTACCTTCGGCAAGCCTACCAGGTGTCGTCAAGGACCGAACACTTCTGCCACCATTCCACGGCGCGATGGACCGCGCCACGCGAACAGCACCAGTTCTGAGCCCGAATCGCAAACACCGCCATGCTGCGGCACGGTAGAACAATGCCCGGGGCTTGCCACGTGGCGCTATGATGCAGGTGACCGCTAGAAAGCCTCGCCGCAGCACTTTGTAACACACTTTGCGGCACAAAAAAAACACCACCAAAAATTCCGCGCTCAAAAAACTGCGGTGAACGGAAAGGTACTTACTGCTTTCGTGGGCAAACCACGCAGGTTCATCATTTTCTTTGCACATAAGTGGACTTGTTTACTTTTGACCACGGAGCCTCTAAAACACAGCAAGACCTCTCATTTCTATCTATAACATGAGCAGCTCTGAGCGTTATCAGGTGGGTACTTTAACTGGAAAAAGACTTGACAGACAACACAGTTTTGAATTACTCTGGACTGCGTGCTGTTAAAAACCCAATTTTTTTCTTCTTTTTACCAAAATAAATGTCCATAACAATTTTACCTCAGGATCATGCAAACATACAATGCAGGAACCATGCAATGGTTCTCGTGAAAACAAATACCAGATAATGATGAGAGTACAGTAGCACAGAACGTCGACTGGAAGCCACCATCGGATTTGTGGGCTAACTGGAAATGGACATCCTCGTTAAGAAATGACTCGGGACTTTAAGCTCAGTGTAATACACATATTTCAAGAACAGAGAGCTGCACTAATGCACCCCTATACGATTCTTAGAATTATATGCAAGTGCTAAGGACTCGCAGAGCTGAGCAGCCCTATTTAGCCTGAAGCAATTGTTGGCGTCGTTATGGAGAATATAAGTAACAAAATAAATATTTGGTAGTTATCTTTGAAAGTGAGCCTTGAGAATGTGTGTGAACCTTGATAACTTTGAGGTCACACATTTGTTTTAGGAGGTGTACATCCGTCCGTGACCTTCCCAGCATATGTGCTGTCTGGTTATGAAGCAGACTCGTGATATTTAACAGTATTCTTGTGAAATATAAAAAAGCGTGTTGCTATTTGACCTAGAGCCATTCACTTCACAACACTTGTTTGGTGTGCCCGCAAAGATGACATGGAAATGGCTGGTGGGATGCTTGGGAAGGGAACAAGTGGTGCACAAGATGACCTTTCAAAGAAAATGCAACTCTATACAAATGCGGAATTGTGTGTAGCATCTTGTCGTATGGTTTTCATGAAGTGGCTTAATGCAATCTGAAAGTGAATTACAGGGTTTGTTCGAGTAGACTTATTTGATGGCCTCGGGCTCCCATGTGGATGGGCCTGCCTCGTACCATAGCAGCTGGCGCGGATAGCGTGTCACTTTTGGGAGGGGCCTTAACGAGCGCGGTTGATGATTTTCAGGGAAATGTCGCTTGTCAATTTGAATTAAATCGAAATTGAATTGCATAGCTAAAGTTAACGATAACTGAGGTGGCCCTGCATGAATGTAAGTGGCAATGTCTTGCGGCAGTTTAAAGAATAAAAAGAGGGCACACTAATGGATATAAACTAATTGCCTGGCTAAAGCCACAAAGAGTAACACGATGGTATGCTAATAAAATTATAAGAACTGTCTGGCTAAAGCCAAAATAATGAAAAGGAGGGCACTGTAGTGGAATTCAAATAAGTTCCCGGCTAAGGCCATGAATGATTAACGAGGGCATGCTAATGGTTATATGATGTGCATTGTTAAAGCCATAAAACATGCAAAGTGGGTATGCTAATGGTTATATGATGTGCATTGTTAAAGCCATAAAACATGCAAAGCGGGCATGATAATGGTTATATGATGTGCCTTGTTAAAGCCATAAAACATGCAAAGCGGGCATGATAATGGTTATATGATGTGCCTTGTTAAAGCCATAAAACATGCAATGCGGGCATGATAATGGCTTTATAGCAGCGATGGGCAACCTCGACCTGTTAGTGGGCCACACGAGCGGGCTGTCCACGAATGACCCCACGCATCACCCAACAGACCCTGAGACCAAGCCGCCACGAGTGGCTCAGGTTGCCCACCACTGATTTGTTTTTATCGTCTTGTTGATCATGCCCCCCAGCCTTCTCAGTTCTCTCAGAAGGAATTGCAGTGGCAGCGGGTGCTTGACATCCACGTGTCGTGACGCCAATTGTTGTGCGCGTGTCCGTCCGTGCACGTTTTAACGTGTGGTGCCTGCTGAAGTGCGAGCGCATCGGTGTGTAGTTCGGTCGCACAAGGCGACCCTTAAAACAATTCTGTCCGGATCAAACCTGACATGCTTTTATCGGAGGTAACATTTGATTTGTGCCGCAGTTTAAGAAGTGGTTTTTAAGGTAAGCAAAAACAAAGTGCCAAACCAAACAAAACGCAATGTGAACGTGACGGGGTGGAGTTGGTGGTGGTGGGGGGGGGGCGAATGTGTGGTTTTACGTCTTTTTTTTAAACAATAATGTACTAAGTGGTTGTGAAGCCACATTGTTCTCGACGCCACACTGCAAAGCAGTTGTGGCGCGGTACGGCGTTGTGTTCTCTCCTGATGTATTAAATATATCGCACGCACGCCCGTGGAACCGCCTAGGCTTTCGAGGCAACGCAACGGCGAATGCTAATGCCAGTTAAAGGCCCTTGCTAATTGTGGCCCTTGTGAACACGGTCCAGTTTTTACACGTTGGCAATTTTTACGGGCAAGTTCAGTGAACTTCATATGCTATATCAGAGGTGCCAGAATTATGAAGTTGGAAAACCCGCCTGGCGGGAGCGATGGTATGTTTCGTTTGTCATTGAGTGGCAGTGGGGAAGTTTGTGCAATTACAATCGAATAATGCAGAAATCAGCTGATTTTACATAATACATTACCCGGCCACAGCTGCAAATGTAAACAAAAAAAGTGTCAAGGTTAATTCTGATATTGGCAGCAGTTATAAAGGTTTGCCTTATCACATACGACATTTATACTGAAGGCAGTGTGAGTCCATCTATCGGAGTGTACGGGCCACACATGAAGCTGGATCCTGGTATCAGAGCACTGCCTTACGAGCGGAGACCTAAGCTATTTTGTATTATTATTATCATCGTAATCATCCCTCCAAGCATGGTACTATGTGGACCACTTGATGTGATGTCAACCGTGGTTGTACTATGGGAGCCACTGGCTCCCACCTCTGGCTCTGGATCCACTATGAAAAACTGCATGTCACTCGTCAGAGCATGCAGTCACTTTGTTTTCTCTTGTTTCACGATTACGAAAGGTTAACTCCAAGCCACACACACCAATGCTGTAAAACTCAGGTCAAAGGTAACATTATCACAAAACAATATCAGGCAATTTTGTTTTACTTCACCGGATATTTATGTTTTTCTTTAATTTATATTTTCTGGGTGCCAGTGTTAAAATAAATGACTTAAAACTTTAATAATAATAAAGTTTTTTTTGTATTGTGTAACTGTGTGGTATTCGCTAACATTGCATAATCTATATTGTGTGCTGTATTATGCGTGTCCATCATTCCCCATCATTTAACATTGCCATGCCTACAGCTTGCCAATGACTAACACTGCATATCACCTTGATTTAATCTCAGGTTAAAGCCAATGCTTGCACCCCTAAGCTGATCAGTGAAACATTGCAACAGTCCTACCTTCACCAAAACCGTATACTAATGCCACAATAAACAATGCTCTTTAGTTTTACATTTTGATTTAAAGCTTTCGTGACTGCAGGAATTCATATAATACAGTTTTTTGTTTCCCTTGTACGTGACTTTACCGAAAGAATCAAGAATATAATGCCATACTCTTTGGTTCTATTGGGTAAAGTCACGTAGGTGAAAATAAAATAACAAAAAATTACGACGTTTCGGCCACAACACAAGCGGCCTTCATCAGGTGAAGGGACGAGGCTGTCTGGAGGACAGCGCTGGAGTGAGAGAAGCCACGCTTAGATCACGACCTTTAAGCTGTGTGAGAATAAAAACACAAAGCGCCTTGACAAAGGAATTAGCATAGAATTTAGCATTGAAATGGCTCATTGAAATAGCTAAGTTAAAGTATAGACATCCGCGGAGGTACCCCTTGACAAAGGAATTAGCATATTATTTAGCATTGAAATGGCTCATTGAAATAACTAAGTTAAAGTATAGACATCCGCGGAGGTACCCCTTGACAAAGGAATTAGCATAGAATTTTGCATTGAAATAGCTGAGTGATTAGCTTGTAACTGGTCACAGAAATAGCTATGTTAAAGTCAGAGCATATACATTCACCGAGGCACCTAGTACTCATCAAACAGGAGAATTTAGCGAAACACAACCACGCTCAGACAGCGGACCTTTAAACTGTGTGCGAGCAAACAAGGTGTTCTGACAAATAAATTAGCATAAAAATAAGCATTTGATTGGCGGATTTTAGGAAAGAGGTGGTGTACGTGCCGTTTGGCGCAGGGGGGAAGGGGGGAGTTTACCTATTGATGGTGTGAAAAGGGAATTTATAAGAGCTGCGAATTGAAGGACATAATGGTATTTAGATTTATACAGCATCTAAATGTGACAACATCTCAACTTACTCTCGACATAGAGTTGATTTTTTTTAAACGCGTTTTTAGCTCGTTTTGGTCATCTGTCAGACCATACTGTTTGACCATACTTCACCATGCTAGTCATCACCTGTTGGTGAAAGGGAGGCCATGATCCATTCAGATAAAACTTTCCACTTATGCTATCCATGGTCAGAGACCAAACTCAGGTGCCCAGGTTCACAGTTCAGTATGCTAACCGCGACACCACCGTTCCACAATAAAATGGTTAGAATTGTGAATTAATGGCCATTACAGACAATAGGTTCACCAAATATGATAGCTGTTTTTTTCAGCTATAACTTTTCCCGTCATTTTATTATTCTGTGACCCTCTTGACTTTCCGGCGCTAGAAGGTTGGAAAGCCTGCGTGTCAAAGCCAAGGCCTCATTGTGGATTACGAATGAGTTTTGCTTTCCATGCAGATCTAATTACTGGCTTTGTGCTTCAGTTAGAAATTGGTATCCGAAGCCTACCCTGGGCCTCATCAAGGTCAACTAGTTTGCAAAAGGTTTTCATCTGGTAAATTACTTTCAGTTAGTTATGTCCTTCAATACGTATTCACACTAGCACGAAATACCAAGCAGCCAAGTGCTACGACTTTCAGTACTCATTATATGAAGTTACAGTAAAACCTTGGATTGCGAGCATAATTCGTTCTGGAAACGTGTTTGTAATCCAAAGCACTCGTATATCAAAGCACTCGTATATCAGTTGTGATCACGTGACGCTCGGCAGACAAAGCGTATACGTACACTGCTCGTATTGCAAGACCCTCGCTCGTTTATCAAATTAATATTTATTTCAAATTTTTGCTCGTCTTGCAAAACACTCGTAGACCAAGTTACTCGCAATCCAAGGTTTTACTGTATATATACACACCTATCTTTTCCTGTAAACCATCAGGGATATGTTTGCCAATTTTAAATACCCAAAACGAGCTGATTTATTGATACATTTTTTTAGCCCACTACACACGTCTTCATTATACCACCCGTACGGTAATACATCCGGAAACAAACTGTGTTGAACATAAATCTTGAGGAAGACGAGGCATTTTAAATGATTAGTTTTTTGCATTCAGCAAAATCAATGTCTCGCCCTTAGTGGTTCACCGGCTTCACATGAACTTTCTACAGTAGATGTGATTAATATCCCCAAGGATATGATTCTGATTGGCTCGGTGGGTGAAGGGCATATAGCTAACTGGTAAACAGATTTTATACGTCAGATTGTATGAACAATATGATTCATAATTGGTTTCTTTTGGGCTAGGTTGTGTAAAAATGTCTGTCGTAAACACTCCTCCAACCAGCAGAACATCGTACCTGTTTAGAAATGTTATAAAATTGCTAACAACTCCGGTGGCGCTGCTAAAGCGATAAATGAATTTAGCACGCGACACATTTATTAACTGGCTGCTGGGTGGAGGAGGGGTTTGCGACACACACACACATTTTTTTCACTATTAAACTATTTAAACTGTTTTATTTGACCAGGCAAGGCCTACTGAGCTATATATCTATTTTCAGAAGCGAACTGGCCACAATGATAACGAAGTGGCTTGTGGACATTTATAGCAGTCACAATACTCGAAACGCTTTTCCTTTTTTTTTTACACGACCTTACCCAAAAGAAACCAATTATGAACGGTAAATAGATGTTCCCACCAAGGGGAACTTGCCCCCCTTTAGCTCTACACATGTTGGAAGACAGCCATTTAAACCTGAAAGCTCGCTCCACCTTGGCGAAGTTCATGGAAAAACAGTGACTGGCTCCGTCAAGTTGAGCTGGACCCCAGCCAGCGTCAATCGTACCCTACTCGCGTAAACGAGATCAATTTGTCTTGTGCATTTGAATGTGTTGGATTGGCATGAAGCGGAGTGCACTGCACTTATCAGCCAGAAACACATTCAGCTATCTGAGGCAAAACTTGAGTCTCAACTTGCGTTATTAGAAAACTTAATTTTTTGGCATTTCACATTTGTATGTAAAAATAAAGGTGCAAACATTGGACAACACACTTTGTATGCACAACATAGATTAGCAGGCTCAGCTGGGCAGGTGTGTTTAATTTGCTCAATTAGGACCCCATGCATTCCACAATTATGCATCAGTATTTATGCATTAACACATTTTATAACGCAGATATGCTCAAATACGCAAAAGCGGTTGCACAGGAGAGTTCATATCCACCCATGGCTTTGCGTGTCTGCATGTGCCCAATATCCGGCCACTTTTTTTGTTAATGCATCACGACCACAGTGGCTATTCCTGTTCCTCCGTTGCGTGTTTTTTTTTTGACGACATTTGCCTAGCCTTGGTGGCCACAGCTGGCTGGCAGACAGGAAACACGCGCGTGCTGGGGGCCAACAGCGGGAAAAGGCGGTCCTAGGTGGCTTCGCCGTTTGGTTTCACTCCAGTCAGAATGTGCGTTAGGGGGAGCGTCTTCGGAGTGGAGTGTGTTGAGTGTGCATGCAATTGTGGATTGTGTGCAACGAATGCTCTTTCTCATTGCGCGTGCACGTTTTAGGGTTTTACAGGTCACTATTGGGCATCTTATGAACGGTGTGTTAAAAAAGGGATATTCATGCCTTGAGTGTACCGTGAAACGCAACCACGCCGTGCTAGAAAGTACCACGTTTCAGTTTCATTTCATTTCAGTTTCATTTATTTTGGTATAGAGCCCTGTGAGCCATTCGGCTCTTGAATCGGGTGCAACCGCAACAAACAAAAACACAAAAACACGAACACATCTTAAAGTGACTATGTGATTATATCATGTTCGTTGGTTCTTTCGGTAAAGTCACGTAGAATGAGGATAAAATAATAAAATAAAATAACACAATTAAATTCTCACGACGTTTCGGCCACAACACAAGTGGCCTTCATCAGGTGAAAGGAACAAACCTGTCGGGACGACAGAGCTTCAATTGAAGCTTCAATTGAAGCTTCAATTGAAGCTCTGTCGTCCCGACAGGTTTGTTCCTTTCACCTGATGAAGGCCACTTGTGTTGTAGCCGAAACGTCGTGAGAATTTAATTGTGTTATTTTATTTTATTATTTTATTCTCATTCTACGTGACTTTACCGAAAGAACCAAAGAAGATGAATCCTTGCAGTCACGAAAGCTTTAAATTGACTATATCATATTTAAGGACGGTGTGTATGTGTGCACACATGGTGCATGAATGTGTGGATTTGTGGTTCGGCGGTTGGCATACTGTCCTATTATCCTGACGACCCCTGCTTAAATGCCTAACCGTGTTGCAGTGCCAGGGCATGAAGTTGCATCTACTATTTGTCTCGGTCTCACTTAATCTGACTCAGCTAATATGAGCATCTCGCCCAGCGTGAGAACACCAAGCACTCAGGGAGACAAGGGTGTCTTCGAATGTAACGCTTGTTGAAACACCATTCTTTCGTGGGCCATTGCAGCCCTTCAAACATGCCCACCAACAGCATGATGCTAGACTACGGAGAAACGTCGTTTTTGTGCGAGTTTGTGTATTGCATGCCCTGTGGAACGTTGTCGATTCCCGCTCGTGGCCAACTCCGGTGACCATTATCTGAACCGGTCCTGGGCCTCCCCTAGGTCGACTCAGCCTCAAATGAGTACCTGGTGCAGCGGTGTGGAGTTAAACATCGCCACTGGGGAGACAAAGGGCGGTCCGGCGTGGTGCTGGCCACCCACAGTCCCCTCGTGTGCCGTAGTAGCAGCCTTCATATAACCGCTACTCGCTAGCAGCACTTGTCCCAACAGTCTGTTAAGGCTATACGGGGGATCTTTGCCATTGTGCGTGCGCCAGACACGTTGGTGCGGGGTTGCGTTAGTGCGGGGCCCGAAATCTGCGCCCTGCACGAACGCCTC